AACTGGCAGCCATTTTGGATTTTTGCTAATTTGACTCATTTGGGCATAGATTTCGGACTTGGACTTTTTTATTGGTGATAATATACATCTAGACCGACTATAAACCATGGTCAGCATTTATATTGCAGCGCAACTGCCCGAAATGGTGCGAAATTAGTTTAAATGCCTGGACTATGACGGCATGACAGAGACAATCGGACTTAAATCCAGATTACTTATCCTTAGTTATAAGTATTGTTAGGTTCTTATTTATTTGAGAGATTCATAATCACATGATTTGAAATGTGGTAGTATATTGTTGTCATGCCCATCAACAATAACCTTGTACAATAGGTATAAGTTATTAAACCCTTTCTTTCTTACAGCACAATTATTTGGACAACAGTTTGATTAGAGATTTTAAAGACGCATTATGTAAAAGCTAAATCTATCTATTGCAGGTCTTTATTTTTCCTTACAATGTCATATAAACTTTCATATAGAACTTGATTCACATGACATTGGCATGCCAATAATCAACTCGCCAGACCATTAGATGGCTGAGATTTAAATGAATTAATACACTTGCAATATTTAAAATTTAACGATATAATAGATAATCAAGAAATTGCCTCAGTTGTCACGTATCATTGCTACGATAATAAACAATCTACGCTACATCTTCAAACAGTCATAAATGGCAAAGAATAAAGTATTTTGAATGAGTTTTCAATATATTCATTTTCTTTAACTATTTTTGAACTATTGTAGCAAGAATGGTCAGCTCTTTATCTAAATCTTACATATTAAATATTTAAGTTTTACCCCCATATTAGATATTATTTGGGCAACCTGGCAAATATTTGAGATCCTTATATTAAAAAGACTTGTGTGAATTGCTATAAATTTGCTGAATTTTACTTTCTAGACTTAGAACATGATTCCAAGAGACACATTGGTTTGTTTTATCCAAGCTTTTCTCACTTAATCCGTCTGTTTGATAAAAGATGGAAGCATGATAGAAATATATTGACACTAGTTGCACATGTATTAAATTTGATGGAGGTTTTCTCTTTATTTGATATTGATCATTGCTTGTTGTTATATTGGTTTGTCTAGATAAAATGATAGTGGATACTCTCAACTATGTCTCACATATTGTGTATCTGTCTCTCCTTCCATTCCATCTACATTCTGTTTAACTTTTTACGGAGTCAGACGCAACATTGTTTAAGGGAGCTAAATAGAAATATTGCTCAACTGAAATAGACTTTTAGAATGTTTGGTATAATAAAGTAAGATTAGGGGCGAGTTTTTTTTTGCGTTCGAACACGTCAAACAACTTAACTTAGAACATATTTACTGGGGGATTTAAATCTTGTCTACTTAAGTTTAGATAGGAAAAAATGTGCTGCTTTCCATTGCAGACATTTGTTAGGCTGACCTTAAAAATATCTTTGTTTCGCCTAACGCGACCGACTAACTAAAACCACCCCCGACTTAAATTATTTTATTGCACTTTTCCGCGATCTTTTTATTTTATTTTGTGTGTCAACCTGAAATATATCACGAGAGTTATTTCCCTTTACTATGGCTATGGTTTGATTCATTATTGAAACTGGTTGATCAAGACGAAAGCGTCATAGGTGTCGCTTCTCAACAAAATGGTTGCAGACGAAAGCACGTCCATTCCCACGAAATGATTCTGCCTCTATGTCTGTGGGCGTCGTTTTAAACATGACGACGATATTTTCAATATCCATTTTCGAGAAAAATAAAGGCACAACCCGCACGATCGTTAAAAACGTGTTGAGGGAGTTTCAAACGTGAGTTTGTCGCAATTTGTGTTCGAGTCGTGCATCAAGAAAAATCCCGATGTCATTGATTTGTTTGCCAATAAAAGAAGACGAATGTTTGCATCCGGAAAATTATCAAGCTGTCAAATTAGCTCTTAAAAAAAAAAATCTGAAAAAAACCCGACCTACCGACCCTTCTCCTCGATTGTGGGTCGGGTTTGGTGAAACAAAGATATTTTTAAGGTCAGCCTTATATAAATTATCATTTCCGTCGCTTAAAGAGATTCTTTCTCAAAATTCTTGGGAAATTGATGATTTGGTAGTATGGCCTTAGTGATGCATATTGCAATTTGAAAAAAGATTATGGATCCAACTACAAGTTTTATGACATTTTATTCCTTCAGTATTGTGACAATTCATGACCTAAGGTCTGTTACCTACGACCATAGCTATAAAATCATTGTTCCTTGTTAGCTTTTAATTGATCTTAGAAAAAATGTTTGCTACATTTAATGAAAACTTGATTAAAGCAAATTTTATTTTGGTAGAATAACAGAGAAAAAACATGTAACGAACATGATTAACTAACAAACATTATGTGTCTTAATTGATTTGGTTTTTTTTAAAAAAAAATGGATTTTGGGACTAAAACTCCAATTTGTTCTTAGTTACATAGTTCATTTGTACTAGATAGTTCAATACATTGATCAAATAGCACTTGTTATCAATATGCCTGAACTGGTTGGATTTATGACATTTAAAAATTCTTATTATGCATAGTATTTTCATTATGTAGTGCATTTTGAGATATTTATGAACTATAGATACTGATAATCCTCACCGGAGTAGGGTACAATTAATGCTACTACTACTATAATATGTGAAACTGCTAATCCTCACATGAGTAGGGTATCATTAATACAACTACTATATAATACTGTTTATCCTCGCACGAGTAGGGTGCAGGGATGCCGATTCAAAATTTTGCTTGTCGTACGTTAAGAGGCCAGAATACTGCCCATCCATATAACATAATGATAATTCACTTTTGGTCCTTTTGGTGTCTTGTTATTTTAGTGTTGGTTGATACCACTGGCTATTCTAGGCCTAGAATGGCCCAGACTCCGGGAAATTTGTGAGAAATGGGATAAACCGGTTTCCACTGTTATTTTATTATTAAAATTCATTAATGCTTGGTTAGTCATTTAGAGGCAGACAGCAATTAATCTGTCAGTTAATTTAGATTATTATAGGCTGGCAACTAAAGTGTTTGATCTATTGTTTTAAATGTCTTAAGACTTAATCCTTCAATAGTTATATGTTTATTTTTTTTATGTCAACACCTTTTATAGTAACTAATTTATATACTATTCAAAAAAAGTAGGGGATATTTGATTTTGGGGGCATAACACTAAAATATGCAAATGACTACGAAAAAAGTCACTATAGAACCTAACAGAAGAAACATTTCCAGTTACATGTGACGCCCAAACGCACCAATAGCTACCGCATGGAATGCAGGTGATGCTTGGGATCATGATGGGGGTCCAACCCAAGATTTGCACGACTCTGACTTTGAATGTTACAGTCATTGTGGCATTGAATTCCAGGGTGGAAACATCAGTTTAATTGTTTTAGTGACCAGAAAACAAATTTTGATATGCGTCGGCTTACCCAAAATGAAAGGTTACGTGCCCTTGGCATGCTACAGATCGGCACAACACAGGCGGTTGTGGCGCGGACGATGAATGTTTCTCAGTCTGTCATAAGCAGGCTATGGTCCAGATACCGTGATACACAATCTGTACAGGACAGACCACGCTCAAGGGCGACAACTCAAGCCCAGGATCGATTTATCCGTACCTTGGCCTTGAGAAATCGTGTCATCACAGCAAATCAGATCAGTGCTCGTCTTCAAACAGACACTGGTGTGAGAGTGAGTGGCCAGACGATTCGGAATCGACTGCATAGGGGTCACCTTTGCGCCCGACGTCCTCGCGTGATCCCTTGTTTGAGAGATCATCACATTCAGGCAAGACATCGTTGGTGTAGGGATCGTCAACACTGGGATAATCGACGCTGGAGCAATGTGATGTTTTCAGATGAGTCAAGGTTCACTGTTGATTTTTTGGACAGACGTAGGAGGGTGTGGCGTCGTTGAAACGAGCGCTTCCAAGACGTTAACGTCATCAGACATGATCGATTTGGGGGTGGTTCTGTTATGGTGTGGGGAGGCATCACTGTTGCTGGAAGAACGGCTTTACATGTTGTTGCAGGGCGTGTTACAGGCCAGTACTACCGGGACAACATCTTGGCAGTCCATGTTGTGCCGTTCGCACGACGTCATGGCCGCCGTTTCATCTTCCAGGATGACCACGCAAGATGTCACAGGGCCAGGATCGTTACAGGTTACCTCCAACAACAGAACATCACCACATTACCTTGGCCAGCACTGAGTCCCGACCTCTCCCCCATCGAGCATGTCTGGGACATGCTTGGACAGAGGTTACGTCAACGTCAACAACGTCCTGCCAATGTCCAAGAACTTGCTGCTGCGTTGCAACAGGAATGGGACAATCTGGACCAAAATGACCTTAGACGTCTCATTAGGAGTATGCCACGTCGGATCAATGCTTGTTTGGCAAACAGAGGAGGATTTACCCGTTACTGACTTGGTTGAGATGCTGTGGTAACTTTGCTGTTTGACCCCGGGTATCATTTTACCCTTATAATGGTCAGTCTGTGCCTTACTTAGTCTAACGATCATTTGGAATAAATCGATGAATGTGAACTTCATTTCATTTTGTCATTTGTTTCTTCGTCAGTTTCATTAGGTGACTTTAATAACACTTAAAAATCAAATATCCCCTACTTTTTTTGAATAGTATATAAAAAGACAAATGCATTTAAGATGATTCATTAGTTGGAGAGACCAGCTTAGAGAACCTATATACTAGTTGGAGTTCCGATTTATAGAAAATTATAAGTTGTTCCATTGTTGCTGTTATATTTGCTTCTGAAATAAAGTGTTGAAGATCTATTCCAAGAATCTGTATTCATTTCCGATACTTAGAGAACACACATCGGTGAGCTGCATTCCCTGAGAATCGCACAGTGTTAATTACATCTTTCATAAAAGTACTGCTATTTGTTTGTTCCCTTGTTTTGTTATTTTTTTCAAGAAAGGACATGAAATAAATATAGTAGTATACTTGTCTATTTCAGCAAGAACTATTTATGTTGGTAACAGATCAAGGATTTTTAACAGAAACCAATGTTGTATGGGAAACTTTATCTAATGTTGAAGGAGACTGCCATTTTGTAGATAGTAATTTTAGAACATATACCAAACCGGAGCCATCCACTCATCCTATACCACCACCTAATGTAGAAATTGGAAGTGAAGAACAAATAGATCATGAGTAAGTATTTACGGTATTGAATCTGGGTCAATTCGTTACATTTTTGTGAAAAATGAAATTGTTTCGGATTCAGTTGTAACGATTGGTATTTCTGCCAAAATATGTAAGTTTTTCGTTTTACGGCTGTGATGTTTTGGTTGGTATATCATACAATTAAAAGGATATATATATTACAGAGTTGATTTCTTTGTTAATAGTCCTCTATGACTTTTAGAATATACATGTAACTGTTAAGAAAATTAATTCTGTAAAACAAAAATAAAAATGGTTGGAGTGCCCAAGTTTGGATTTGTCGTTGATTCCATAAAGTAGTTATGTTTTAGAACGTTAAATACTGTGTAATTCAACATGGCACCCGAGGGGTTTAATATGATATAGGTACGAAATAGTACCAAATGGTTTTTTTGTATGAGAGTCAAGGTTTGGATTAAAATGCCTTGGAAATCGGAAGTAGGAGGCGACTAGTATGTGTCTATCTTTTGTGGACCGATATGAGATTGTCCGTTATATTAACTGGACGGGTAGGCCTATTCACCTTCGGTTATGTGTCAATGTCAAATGAGCGGCTTCTTATCAACAAGATCGGCTCTGGACCGGTTTGATTCTACGTATCTCTTGTAGCAGAGAGAATAAAGATTTTTTAGCCTAGAGAATATCTTCCGTCAAAGTGGTGGTTTATTCCTAGGCAAAAGAAGGAATCACAACTGACCAATTTAATCAACAAAATTTGCCATAACGAGATCGTAAGCAGAGAGTAAGATAAAATAAATCAGTCTGAAGAGTTCATTACGAGGAATCAGTCTGAAGAGTTCAATACGAACGAAACTAGTCACTGACATTCGAGATAACCAGGTCTTCATAGCCACCTTATCTCTTATATTAAATTTATTCTGTAGTCAGTCACCCAGAAAATATGTTGTAGACTGGTATTTATTTTTAATTGCCTTTACATTTCTGCATAAAATACAAAACTCTTTCAGTCCACTCTACTAAAAGATCTAATAATTAAAAAAAATAAGTTACAATACCAATACTACAATATTCATTATTCAACTATGAATTAGAAGTTTCAGTACCATATTCAATCATGAATAAGAAGTTTCAGTACCATATTCAATCATGAATAAGAAGTTTTAATATCATATTCAACCATGAATAAGAAGTTTTAATACCATATTCAACCATGAATAAGAAGTTTTAATATCATATTCAACCATGAATAAGAAGTTTTAATACCATATTCAACCATGAATAAGAAGTTTCAGTACCATATCCAAGCATGAATGAGAAGTTAAATATACCATCAACAAAAATTTTCAATACTATATTCAACCATAAACAAAAAGTTCAATAACAGTTTCAACCATGAATAAGAAGTTTAGTACCATATTCAACCATGTAAAGGAATTTTCAATACCATTTCAACCATGAACACAAATTTCAATACAACATTCAACCATGAAAAGGGATTTTAATATGGAACTTTTTATTGAGTGAAGTTTATGAATGACTTTTAGTGTTTTCAAGGATTATATTATTGTATGTTGTTTAAGCTTTGACCTTTCATTTTAAAAGGGGGAGTTGAATGGCCGAATGGTTAGCACGCGCATGCTGTATCATACGGTCTGTCATTGAGTCAACTGGCGGTGTTTCGATTCCCCGGGTACGTGACAAGGAGTAGGGTCGCCTGTCCTACCTCGTGGGTTTTTTACGTGTCCTCCGGTTTCCTCCCACTGCTAAAGACCCCTACGGGCAAGCGAATGATTGAAATAGGATTGAACCATGTGTTAGTCCCGAAATGACCTAGTTTATGCAAGAGCTAAATCTTCCTATTGCAGGTCTTCCTTAAGGCCTGAAATGTTATCTAAATTATTAATTAGACAATAATACTTATCTAGACCATAATCAACTCTCAATGTCATCGCTAGTCTACGATATTTATTGGATTACGATCTGATTTGCTGCTCAACTTTCATTGATGATTTAATCATGAAATGGATAATCGAGACAATGTTTTTTATCATACCGACTTGAGTTATGATGATCGAGGCTGGACCGAAATTTCAATCGCTAAATTCTCAGTTCAGAAAGGATCAAATCGACTGAAATTTTCAGCAAATTGCCTTTACATTATCTAGTTTTTAACAATTATAGTGAGAACTGCCAGCTCTTTATCTAATCTCCCATAATACATCTTTAAAATTTATGAATATGTTTTAAAAATTTTAATTCATAATCATCCTGTTGAAATTTAATAAACTATCAAACCAGTTAAGAACAAAAACATTCCCTTTTGTAGAAATGAAAAAAAATAGTGAAAGGAATAAGTATGGCAGGAGGCCAGTACGTTGCGCTTGAATCCGTTATCTTTAAACAGATTTTCAAGTTGAGGTGTAAATTGTGTGGGGGTATCAGTAAGGTGTTTGATGTGGCTTTGTTTCTAATCAATGCCTGGCTACTAATCACAGCTTTTTAACCAGTCCAGCTATACTACTGATCTTCTTGTCTCTCTTAATCTTTGTTTACTTCAAATATCTGATTTGAGGTCATCAAGGAACTGGCCATTTTCAACATTTTGCTGATGGTTGTTGACCGATCACCATGAGAGATTATTCTGTGGACTGTGGTCAAAGCTTACGATGTAAACTGCGATCGTTGAGTCAATATTGTCACATACCCAACATATGGTGCTAAAAATTCCACACAAACAAATCATGCATTCCTCCCACTACCCTGGAAATTTTAACGGATACCTGCAAATTATCTCTCTTAAAAACAACAAAAAGACACTTAATTTGATGGTGGACATGGGTCTGTTCATTGTTTGATTTTTCAGTGATTGGCTTCAATGTCTTTTTTCCTATCAATACATCATATCCTACTATTTCAAAGATATAGTTGCACATTTTTTTTGTCATGTGGAATGACAGTTTGCAGAGTACCGGTGAGAGTACATAATTGCAGTCCTTTGGAAATGAAAAGAAATGGGGTTTAACATCCTACTGTTCTGTTCCGACGGGGCAATTGTGATTCGGACTTGCCCATCAATTTTATGTGTAGTTATTAATTCCAGGGTTAATATTTATTAATATTCCCAGAAACACATAGTCTCATTGCATAGAGCGTGTAATTTAACAAAATAATTCTGTTGAAATATTTGCATTTTGGCTAACAGGAAGGACAATGGCAAATATGTTAAACTTTTAAAATAAAAGAAATTATTCAAATGAAAGGGCACAAATAGAAGTAAAGATTTAAAAAAACAAATGTTTCAACAACAAAAATCCTGACAAAGCCAGAAATGAATGTAATTACATTCATTCTTTAGATTAAACCTAAGATCAATGATCTTGTGTATACCTTTTAAACATTGATAGCTGGCTTCTGTTTAAAAAGGGGGAAGGAAATGTTTTTTTTGTGTCAATCATTGTTGAACCATGTATTTTTTTGTTACCCAGTGCACCCGTCTTCTATGATTTGAACTTTGAAGTATTTTTTTTTTATAAAATATATATACACACACAGGTTTGACTCATTCTGCCTTCTGGTGTAAATCGTGCAACCAAAATTACAAAAGGTTGGACGATCTTACTCGACACCAGAAAACTAAACACCAAGTCGATATCTTGGACGCCACTGTGAACAGAGCATCGGTCATCTTTCCCCTCACTGTGAGGAAATTTGTTAAAATAATAGCATCAAAAACTCTGATGCAATTATTACAGACACTGTCTCCGAAACAGTGGAGGATAAAAATGACAGATCACCCTGTCCGATACCTTTCCCAACCATGAGTAACTGGGAGGCTTTTTGTGAAGGAGTTAATCCTTCCCATGAACTAGAGGCATGGCCAGTTTTTTGCACATTGAATCGCGATGATTTGGCAGAATTGAACCTCAGTAAAGAAGACTAGGTATTTTTACGTTTCAATCGAGAAACACAAAAACAACTTCGTGAGCTCCTTGTAGAATTCAAAAAAGACTTTCCAAGAGCCACTTTTCAAAGTATACAAAATAGTAGCATAATTCTTAGCCTAACTCAGTCAGGGCAGAGAGTGAAAAGCTGGACGAGTTCCCAATTATTTTGGAATAATCAACTCCGGTGTTAAAGATTGACTCTGGTCCATCTGTGACGTCACATGCTCCGATCCCCACCGACTATATAAAGTGGGCAACCGCACATCCTCAATCAAGCCTGAAGAGTTTGAATAGAACGAAACTAGTAGCTGAGAGAAATCTGGGAAGGCTGTTCGCCTATTTACATATTTTTTACCTCATTCTGCCTTTATAAACTTTAAGGGGGGTTGGATGGCCGAATGGTTAGCATGTGTGCACTGTATCATAAGTTCTGTCATTGAGTCAGCTGTGGTGGTTCCTGTCCAACCTTGTGGGGGTTTTCTCGAATTATTGAAATAAAATTGAACCATGTGTTAGTCCCGAAATGACCTGGTTTGTGTGATGTGGACTTAATGGGTCTGTACGTCCGTCACACTTTTTGATTGGTCGAGACTTTGGAACACAATAAATCTCATTCTAATTGAGCTAGAATGTTCACACTTGGCGTAGTTGTTTATTAGGTGAATGCCTTGACGGAGTTTGAAGATGGCAATTTTCTGCTTGGGGTAAACAAGAGATAAGCAATTTGATAAATGTGCGATAAATTAAAATGTGTCATCTATTTATTTTGGGATTTCGGCGGGGGACATCGGCCTCACTGTTGGCTTATTTACATATTGGACTGATGTGTGAGGGCTCATGTTGTCTGTCTGTCTAAATGCTGTAAACAAAAGCGGAAGTTTTTTCAATTTTAATCTCAAGTTCATACCAGGTAGAATTTTAGAGATAAAAAATACCCATACCCATGACGGCTTTGCAAAATTTTCTATAAATAACCACAAATAAATGAAATTTTAATTCATTTGTTGATCATTTCAAATAAAAATTTGGCTGTAGTGTTTAAATTTGTTTTGGGCAAGATGCTCTGTGCTAAATAACAGGTGGTTCCTAAAGCATATATTATAGAATGCATCTTTTAACCATTGGTGTATATATTATATGTTGGCTTTGTGATTGCTCTAGATACAATATCTGGTAAATACCGCCAAAGTTATTATCGGATTTACTTTGTCATAATTTGAAGCCAAACAAATTCTAATGATTTCTGATAATTACTTAATTGGGTTGTTACTCTTAATCAGTTTTTAGTGTCTTGTAAGTGCTTTCATTACCGACAAAAGAAGAAAGTATGGGCCAACCCTTGTGGATTGCTCGGACGACTTACCTGCTGTTGGTGTATGTTTCTTTGTCTGGCAACTTATCTTTATTACCTTAAAAAATTCTTTGAATTTAAGTTAGAGTTTCTGTATGAATTATGTTGAATATTATATTAATACCATTCTAATTTTGTAGTTACCTGGTAGCTTTGTCTTTACAACAAGATCCACCATTAGCTGAATCTGAAGCCACTGCTTGGGCAAGTTATGAGAAAGATAGTGCAACTATTGCTCAGAAGGAGTAAGTTCTTTTTAAGATCATGAATTATAGTTTAGCACAGGGGTGTCAAACTCATTTCGATTCAGGGGCCACATGAACTAAAATTTTACCTCAAGTGGGCCGGAGATATACAAAATTTCTCTTGTATTACATACAACTTAGATATCTATGACATACAGTACAAAGTCAGAGTTTTACTGAAACCGGAAAATAATAATAAATGATTTCCACTGCTAGTTTCTAAGAATTATCTACACGTCAGTTTGTTGAAATTTGTTTCACAGGCTACATTTAAATCCTTGGCGGGCCGTATCTGGCCTGCGAACCAGATGTTCGACACCCCTAGTTTAGAATTTAAAAATATACACTTATATAGCTAGGTCTGCATTTCTTCCACCATTTTGTACCTTAAAGCCCACTGATTGCTGTTTGTATTTTCATATAATATCTAATTCTTCATGTCTTATTCCTCTCTAAAAAGTTGTCAGTTTGTATAATTAACATATAATTAAAATATCAACAGTAGAAAATCTTCTGCCTTGAATTCATTCAGATAGAAAAGAGGCCTATCATAAGATTTTACCCAACACTTACAGGTGGCACTGACTTGTTTGTATCACCTGCCGTGGATGTCGATTGTTGTGAAATCTCAATTTATTATATCTTTGTAAATACTGAATGGACTTGAATCATTTTTGGACTAATATTCCTTTCAAGTGAAGCATGTATTTTGAATCAGAAAATTAAATAAAAGGATTTGGTAAATGTTATACAAATTTATTTCTGGTATTATATTTCTTAAAGTCATGAGTTTGCAAAGAGATTACAAGAAGAAGAAGATCGTAGAGCTGCAGCTGAAGAAGCTGCACATCAACAGAGAGCAGCACCTCCCTCTCAACCTGGTCCTAGTCAACCTTCCATTCCACGTCGTAATAGAGATAGAGATAGAGAAAAACAAAAAGATAAAGATAATGTAAGTATAATACTGTTTGTTCAAAACAATAAATTATGGAATTAATCAGGATGAAATTCAATTGAGTCAATAATGTGAAAAAAAAATGATGCAAGTAAAAGAGAAAGATTGTTTGTTTGCTTGCCATAGAAAACCAAAAGGTTGAACTTATAAACTTATTGATGCTGTTTATTTTGAAATTGTTGCAGTATTTAATTACGAAATTGATAATTAATATTGTGTTATTATGGGAACCTTCTAGAACACACCATTGTAGGCTGGTCCATTACATTTAGGAAAATAATGTTATTATTCTGGAAAATTCTTAGCTTAAAGTTCATATAATATAAGGCACTCAGCCATATTCAATGCAGGTAGATAAGCTAGTAAATTAAAAACAAATTGAATGATAAATGTAGTCTGCTGAATGCTTACAAATAATTTAGTTAACTGTCGTGACAAATTTAGAATCCTTAAAAAAAACGTGCAGTACAATGTACGAAAATAATGTACAAATTAATTGTTGAATTGGTAGACAATATTTTGTTAATTAGACTTATTAACGTTGCGGGGATTGTTAAAATTATTCATATTTTATGGATTACAAAACTGCTGGTGTGTGTCTGGCAACCTATCTTTGTTATAATTATTATATAGTCTTATGTCTTATATATTTTTTCAGTGTGTAATATTATAAGAATGAAGATGATGGTGAAATGTTCGGATGTGCAGTAATGTTACTTATATGTAATTTTAGGATATAATCTGATATTTGAGCAACCACAAAACTTTCTCATAGTGAATAACCTATTCCAGATTTAATAAGTTTTTGAAGTAAGTCATACTTAAGGATTTATGATTGTATTAACTTAAATTCTCCTTCACAAGTCGAGATAATCCAATCTCCTTAACAAGTCATGATAAGGCAGTCTCCTTAACATGTTGTGATAAGACGATCTCCTTAACGAGTCGTGATAATGCAATCACCTTAGCAAGACAGTCTCCATATTTTCTTCTTTCATTTTTGTTGTAAACAGATTTTTGGCAAGAAAGTGCGAGTTAATTGTGCATATGCCATTTTATATGCATGATCATTGCATTATTGGCAAATGATCTAATCCACAGAAGAATCTTGTTAATAACACTTAAGACCAAAAAACATTACTGAAGCACATTACGGTACACACTCTCTCAACACAGATCAATCCTGTTTTTTAGCCGTTAATATAACTTGTTTATACAATTAATGGTATACAGCCGTTTAGTGGATGTGCTCATAAATTTGTTGTATATAAGTTTGAGAAATTTTGTACTTCATTAATCAAAAGATTTCATTATGTAACTTGTTATATATATTTGTATGATCCTCTAAGGATGTACATATTAATAATTAGATTTTTATCTGGTTGTATACTATTATTAGGTTATATTGAAATGGTATAAATATAATATTACTTATTATTATTGTTTTTGTCTGGAAGTGTTTAAACCTTAATCATTGAATGTTGGTCAGTTTACTGGATCAAAGTTGTTAATTGCTATTTAGTTTCTTCAAGTCTATTTAACAACCAGTATATATTATTCTTCTCCCACTTCATTGTATATTATTTTTTATTTTTTTGTTGTATTTTTTCATATTATATAACATAGTATCTGTACATTCTACATGCCTCATGTTCTACAGATAGTTGGCTCATTGTTCGCACAAGATCAAATACAAAAACGTCTTTCTACATTTTGGCGTTTTTATTTGATAATTTTAGTCCATATCTTTAAATGCACCTTAAGTCCCAGAAAAAGAGTTCTAAAGAACCAAAAATATGGTTACTTTTTAAATTATGTAAATTTTGTCTATGAATATTCCGCCCATTGCGGGTGGTCGGATGATCATGTGTAGATCATGAGGTATGTAGCTGTAATGTAATTATTTTGCTATAAATTTGTTGATATTGACTTGAATTAAGTCTTGTTAAACAGTTTACATTGAAAAATCACACTTGAAGAATTGCATTAATAGAAACTGGCAGAAATATTGCATTTTAATCATATTTGATATAATCATTAAATTCCTAAATAATAATTTGTGGATAGAAGAAACTAGTATTAGTTATTTGCTCCCATTTTGATTCAAACTTTTGTTCAATACTTTGATGTGTTTTAAAAACCTATTGTTGGTTGATCTCTGTAATGATGTGTATGTCCTGCATTTTGTTATGGTATATATTTGAGAGAATTGGAATAACGTTCAATAACCTCCAGTAATTATATTATCATTAATTTTTACTGTAAAAATCTCAACCATTTCAACAAGTAGACTGAAAAAAAAGAAGCTTGCTTGCAATGATAGATTTTTCAACAAAATTGCAAAATAAAAAGTCTATTAACTCTTTTCTCCAAAAAGATAATTTCCATGCTATATCACTGATGGAACCACATACACAAGAAACCTTAAAATGTACTGAGTTATAAAATAGTTTTAATTGTGCTTGCTAAAACAAATAATCCTGGATAAATTTGCTTTCAGAATATATAACCCAAATTTTTATGATCTTTCTGGTTTTCATTTATTACTACGATCAGTCATTATCAAAACATGTTTTAATAAGATGGTTCTTGTCGCAGTTTAATAATACAGTTCCTCCATAACAGTTTTACACTTAGGCTGCCATTATTTTTTAGTAGCTACTGTGTAGTGAAATTTTCTAAATAAAAACACTTACAGTGATTTTCTACCACTTCACAAAGATAAATATCTATCTACTATCGACCATGCGATTTGATTGGCTTTTAAAGATCATTTATTGATTGGTTCACATAGTCAGTTGAAAGCAGATCAGTTGACATCAGCTACTGGATGAATTTGGTGTAAATCTGAGCCACTCACAGTGCCTTATGGTACTGAAAGAATTAAAGGACATGATATTCCTAAAATAAAGCTTAAAAACCCATTGTTTCAGGAATTTGAATTTACCCTAGCCAGTGAACAAAATTTTGTTAAAATTTATTAAAGTTTTTAATGGATATTTGTTGATTTTGAAGTGCCTCAATTGATATGCATGTACATTGTAAATATATGGTCCACTTTCCTTATTCCAAAATCTCCCATCTCTAAAAACCAGTTCCTTGGGTTAAAATAAAAAAAAAGCTCTCAATATTTTTGCCACCCGCCTTTCGAAGAAAGCAGGGGACTATTAAAATGGGTTCGTCTGTCCGTCACACTTTTTGGGACACAATAACTCTCCTAATTGAGCTAGAATGTTCAAATTTTGTGTAGGTGTTTATTAGGTCAATGCCTTGATGGAGTTCGATAATGAGCATTTTCTTGTCAGGGTAAGCAGAGTGATAAGCAATTTGATTGGTCGAGACTTTGGAACACAATAACTCTCATTCTAATTGAGTTAGAATGTTCACACTTGGCGTAGGTGTCAATTAGGTGAATGCCTTGATGGAGTTTGAGGATGGGAATTTTCTGCTTAGGGTAAGCAGAGATAAGCAGTTTGATTGTGCAGAATGATAAGCAATTTGATTGGTCGAGACTTTGGAACACAATAACTCTTCTTCTAATTGAGGTAGAATGCTCAAACTTGGTGTAGGTGTCTATTAGGTGAATGGTTAAGCTTTATGTAGATGTTCATTAGGCGAATGTCTTGACTGAGTTCAATGATTAACATTTCGAGCTAAAGCTAAGCAGAGCTAATCGATTTCATTTGTCGATGGTTTGGGACAAGATAATCTTGATTCTATCTGATAGAGAGTGATGAAATTTGGTGGAAAAAAAATAATTGTGCGATTAATTAATATGTGTCATCTAATTATTTTGCAATTTCGGCGGGGGACATCAGCCTCACTGTTGGCTTGTTTAATTAGCTATAGATTGATTACAGTAGTGCCTATTTAACTATATTGCTAAGTTTTTATAATAAATTCTACTTCAAAGTAAGGAAAGTGTGCCTTTCATTTGTATGAAATGATTGTATATAATTTCATTATTTGCAATTCTCTTGTTAAATTTATTAATTTAGTGATATACACAAAGTATAATGATTGTAGACCTTTTTTTAATGCGCTCAAAAATATGTAAATATTAAATGTGTTGATTTTACATCAGTATAATGTTATCTATTTGACTTTGAAAAAATTGTAAATGTAGAAATCGACTGGAAGCTTAGAATTATTTGGTTCAGGTTGGATAAACAGTCAAACTATGGGCATTAATTTTGTAATTGATTCATAAATGCATTAATATAAGCCATACCCGAGTTATTTAATTAACGTAAATGATGATTATACTAGAGAATACTTTAGGTTGTAATTAAAGTGTTGTCATCCCATCTTTAAGTAGCTAAGTCTCTAACTTAATATCACCAAAAGTCTCCGACATTGAAAACACAAATTATTTGTCAATTTAAATCAACATTGATGTCATGATCTTACCTGGAAAAGATGGGCTTCTGATATCCAATATTTAAGACAGAATAATCACTTTACCATTGGTACATGAATCGTGTACCATAATGCGTTTCAGCTCCATTTTGTAGCAAGGGAATTGAAGAACGAGGCTAGAAATATTCCACAAGTCCTGTCAAACATGCGCAATAAATACTATCAGTATAGACTTGAATAACCAGAAGCTTGAGATTACCATTAGATTAGGACTTCTGGAGAATTTCGCTGAACATAACTGATTTGAAATTAGAATAAAAACGGAAACGATTGAATGTTTAGTTCCTTTAAAGGATTTTGGTAATTTGATAGGAAAGACTCTTATATTGGTTATTGTTTAAATCAAGATAAACAAAGGTGTGTGAAGTAAGGTGAGTTTAAGGCGTTGATTTGTAATATTCATAAAGAGTAAATTACGGCTTTGTGCTAATGCTAGTCATTTTAACGACGCTATGTATGTCTCGTGTCTGATTTGCAAAGTGTCCACAAAATAGGATGACTGTTTGAATCAATATTAATTCGTAATCACTGTCTTTGATAACTTAAGCAATGGTGTAACTTGTAAAAATTGTCATTTTAAGACAAGTGTTAGTTTAAAGCTGGTTTAGGATTTTCCTGAAAAAAGAGGGGTGGAGGGAGGGAGAGATTTCGAGTATGTTCTGGATAAGGAACATAAGCAGACATAATTACATCTTAGCATATCAGAAAGAGGCGAAAATTAACCCACTTTATCTAATGAAGCTTAAATTTCTCATTTTTTAACGCTATGTACATTAGTTTGAATGAAGAATGTGCTTTGCTTGCTATTTCTATACGAATATAAAATGTAGAACACTAAAAGTTAGTGCTAAGGACAGCATTACACATATATTTACTTAGTCAAATTGTATGGCAATTGGCTATATCAACAGTTTTAAAAAGAAGCTCTGCATCATATATGTGCTTGCTTGTGAAGCTAAGGAGGCTAAAACAAATGTAGCAAAAAGTGGATTATGTGTGGAGACTAGTATTTGGATGAAATAAGAGCAACTATTTCAGCTACCTCAAACAATCAGTTGGCCTTTATTATCATGGACATTCTAATCACATCTTATTATAGATCTTCAACTTATCACTTATATATCTTAATATATAGCCTACATATTTCCTTATATATTCTAAATTCCAGTTTTTAAAGGGTTTTTTGGTGTATATTTTAAATGGTGTAATACATATATATATATTATATGATTGACTATTTTATTGTTTATTTATATTTATGAAGAGGATGGGAGTAATTTATCAGATGATTGTGCTTATTATAAATACATACCAGAACAACTTATAGTTATGTTTTGTATTGGACGAGACAGACAGCTGTTCCAAGCCAATTTGCTCCCCTGAAATTAACTTGTGAAACTTTGAGCAAATAATCAAGAGAGAGAAATGGGATTTAAACTTTAAGACTAACTAGGTCATTTATTTCAATAATTATCTTGCGAATTGCACGCAGGGATCTTTAGCAGTGGAGGAAATTCAAAAAATAAATGGGGTTAGGTAGATGACCCCCAACTTGTCACTTAAAAGCCTTGGATCCAAACCATGGCACATCTGTCAATGACTGACCTGATCTATATCACACAAGCTGGATACTAGTGGATAGCCCCCAGAACAGTCAAGCTGTTGGGGAATTGGAATTTCCAGAGTGCACACAAAAGAACCCACGATAGTTGATCCCAAAGAGGTTACTTTAAAAATGATCTAGGGAAAGTATTGAACATTTCCTTTTCATACAGCCACATTGAAATGTGGTCATATATGGTTATCGGGCGTGTAGTCAAAAATATAAAACTGCTATTTAAACCATGTAGTGGACATGTATAATGGTTTTAAATGACAGTTTTATATTTTTGACTCTACTCTTTGTTCCTGCTGTTGATATATCCATTTACCTAGTAATTTGTTTGGCAGTAATTTAAAATCAATCAGAAGATAACTTTGTGAAAATCTACAAATATATACAGTAGGCATTCGTAAATCATGTGGAGACTCTAGATAATTTATTTTCCGAGTGCCTTTATATTTATATTCATAAAATGAAGAAGTCTAGAATTACTTTCAGACTTAATACACTTGATCACTTTTCACTGTTACAATTTGCAAAATCAAACCAGACAGAATTGTCTCCCTTGCAATGAAAAAACATTGCCAAAGTTTTTCATGGTCAGAACCATGTATATTACAATCACAGCACACTGGTTGTTATCTTACAAAGATTTTACAGCATTATGAGTTATCACTTGAAAGTGACCATCCCACAAAATTGCATGTAATGCCCTTTCTTGTTCTTAAATATGGTACCAGGAGTAACTTATCAAATAAATTTCACAAGCGAATACTATCAGGTATAAAAATATTTATAAATCTAAAACACAATGATCATGATTTACATATTCTATATTCAACATATAAAATGAACATAAAGAATAATATGATTATTATGTGAGATAAAGATATATTTTCAACATAACTGTAAAACACGAAATCAATGTGCCATCAAATTAATGCAACCTGCAGGGAGTAATCATAATTGAGTAATGAATTAAATGCGATCCAGATAATCTGCTTGTCTAAATTAAAGACTAGGTTGCTACTTTTATAAAAGTTAAAAATTATTTTTTAAGTTAGCAACCAGCCTTAATTAGCCTATCAACTATTGTTTTAGGGGTGCTAATGCTGATTTACCAGCAAAACTAAACCCTACTTTATATTTTTATTTTACAAATCTATATTGAATTTGAAATTAATGCAAATGATGGTAATTATTTAATTTAATTTCTATACTTGTTCAATTAATAAAATACTAGTACATATCTATAACAAATGTATAAATAAAATTGGACGGAGAATACATAATTTAACAATGAATATTCAGTCATTTCTATAAGTATTATTTTACATACATACAAATATCTACATATATACAAATTATAGATATAAAAAGGGAATGATTGATTATTTAATTGTGAAACCAACACTAATCAACAAATAAAACCACCTTTAATAGAAAACCTTCTACTAAGAAAGTTTCAGTGATTAGGGAAACAAATCTGAATTTGTTATTTATACCTACTTGAGAATTTATGCTTTGGAGTGCTTCAATCTTTTTTTTTTACCTTGGATTAATAATAATGTTGCTTTTTCATACAAGCCAGCCCATTCTTGAAAGTTTTTTTTATACTCAAATGTGTTTAGTTACATAATAATAACAATATTTACATATATTTTTGAATTTTGTTTTGAGACATATATATGTCAACATATGGCTTGTGCATTTAAGAGAAATTTAGGATTGAATCAATGTCCATTATACGCATGTCTATCTACTGTATATTCCCACTGATTTACATATAAATACCTACATACGATAACTACTATAAATAACATACTGTCTTTAAAACAACAAACAGAACAATTAATAAATTAAGATGAATTGTGGGAGCTGTCCCTGTGAGAAATGGATAAAAGAAATCATATGGTACTTTGGCCAGGAATAACGGTGGTTCAGCTTCAAAACCTACAGCTGGGTTTGATACATCAATAAATGTTACAGAACTTGTAATTTCTAGTTTCTGACTGAGATCTGCTCCAGGTTGACAATATGGACCAACACACTGAAAAATGAAAAATATATCAACATTTGTCTATGCATAAACTGATAATAAAACAAAGACCCCTTATAATTTTGAGATAACATATTTCGAGACAAAAAACAAAAAAAGAGTTTAGCTAAATATAGCAATTGATTTAGTGCAAAATGAAGTTAACACTTAAATAGTTCCTACTCGGTAATCTATGATGTTTCTTACTTTTGAACTAAATATAACTGGACATCCAGTTAGCGTAAATACTGTTATGGCAAAGTGTATAAAATTAGTTGTTACATTTCAAGAAGATTATCTTTTGATTTAGGCAAAAGCAAAGAATTTATTTAAACCTTCGACTATTGAACATAAAATTTATTATACATTAACAACCATTTCAGAAAATAAATCAAGGCATCAAAATTCAATCAACACCCCTTTATTTTGAATCTAACTCAATAGACTATTTCCTTTTTAAAAATAGAACATCTAAATCAGGGATAGAAGTGGCACACTGCATTGCTGTGATAAAAATAAAGTAAGACAGTGGGCCCTTAGCCTACTCATTATTTTCAGCAGTTTTATTATTTCATGCGCATCCTTTTTAGCAAATGTTGTTCTTTTTCACATTAATATGTTCAGTTAAAAATTGGCTTAATGAATCAAACTTTTGTTCTGCAATCATCCTGTAACTGTTAAATATTCGTTGGTGCATCTGAATTCATGTGTGAACAATTTGACATACAGTATATAATCTGAATAAACAACTTACTCTATAATATACATCTTCTGCCTGGTTGTAAACAAAGGCCACACCCAGTATTTTAGATTGAGCATTTGTCAGTGAACCAACTTTAGCATATAACACTTGTATACCCATTCCTAATGAGAGAGAACATCTTTGTCCTATGGCCTGTTATAAAATTAAAAAAATTAGCTTAATTAAATTTATTTGATGCAGAAGAGTAATAAGATCTCAAATTATTAGTAACGCCACCTATAACAATGAACAATACATTGTGTTTCAAATATCAACAATCAAACTTACTGGACTTGGGTTAGGTCGATTTTGAACTTGGATGGGTAACCAATCCCCAACCTTTTCTGGGTCAGAATTACCAAAAGTAGCCACATAACGTAGAGTTGAATCAAATGTACCTGCTGCAACATCATATACAGGTGCCTGATCTCCTTCTAAAGCGTTTATTATACGCTGTTGTATAAGTTCACAGTAATCAGTAACATTTGCCAGAGATATTCTACAAAACAATATTCAATACCTTTTAAAATGTGTACAGTTCAGATTTGTATTTTTGTCTTTAAAATATCTTGACACAACCAGTGGCTGTAGAAACGATTTATGGAGAGAGAGAGGGCAAGAAATGGGGTTTAACGTCCACTCGACACAAACTAGGTCATTTCGGGACTTACATATGGTTTAATTTTATTTCAATAATTTGCTTGCGCGTAGAGGTCTTTAGCAGTGGGAGGAAACCGGAGGACCCGGAGAAAACCCACGAGGTTGGACAGGCGACCCTACTCCTTGTCATCTACAATGACAGGCCTTATGATACAGCGCGCATGTGCTAACCATTCCGGCCATCCAACCCCCCATTTATGGATAGCACTGGAGTTCTATTAAACAGTGGTAAGTAAAAAAGAATATTAAAATCTTACTGTAAGAAACAACCAGATCGTATATCTTGACCAAATTGTACAGATAATCTATCTGAAGTACCACATTGCCCAGTAGAACCACTAGTTCCTATAGTTAACCATTCATCTCTATTACTGTTTAATAATATCACCTGATTAATACTAGTTAAAGAAACCTGAGAACGTAACTGAATGAATCATATCATTATCTAAATTATAGACAAATGAGGGCTAAAAATATTGATGTTGGTGTACGATGATAGAAATTTACAGTGATAATACAGTAATATTCTTTAACAAACATGTACATAAAAAGAAAGCGATTACAGACACATTTATCATTACAATCTGTTCACAATGTTTATAATAATAAACTTTACAATCTTAACAGTTCAAGGGGGATCAGTGACTCAAAAGGAATTTCCACTTTTCAAAATTGTTCTTATTTACTAGTGAGTCTATCTTTGTGTTTGAATCTAGAAATGCAATGTACCCTTCTTTAGTAGGTTGATTAGATGTGTCTTATAAATATAATATTTGGTTAATATTATTGCATGGTTCACAAAGGAAAATTCAGACTGTTTTTTTAAATTAATGATGTCTTCGTGCAAATTATAGTATCCAATGTTTTGTTTTTTTTGCAATATATAATTTCTCTATAGTATAAATGATAATTTTATGAAACGATAAATTTGATAAAAATAAAGGATATTTAACATTGCCATCTGCATCAGTGGTACCATTTAAGACTCCTGCCATTAAAGGTTCACCTTGTCTATAACCTGGATTACCACTTCGTATAAACTTCTCTCCATCATTTATCTACATGTATAATAAACATTTATATTTAAATAAAATCCTGAATATATGTTAACTAAACAAATACTGTAGATGACTTCTATGGAAAAGATTTAAAATTATTCTTATTAACCACAAACAAAAGGGTTGCAATGTGAAATCGATTGGCACTGATCAGAACTTCAAAAGGCCATAATCAAGTCATGGAGATACCTCAACTTTTTACTATTGAAAAGAAGAGAATGAAATGAATTAAACAGATTGTAGCCTGTTATCATCTTGTGCCCATTTGGCATAAATTTCAGTTTGTTAGGCTTTCATAAACAAATCAATTTCATTGCAATCATCAACTTAATGTAAACAATTATACTATAAAAAAAGAATACAATGGAATAACTTACGCCATTAAACTGTACAGAGAAATCTTGTGAATGAAGATTGGTAGTATCTGATATAGAACCTAGTAAAATATCTACTGTAACTTGTGTTATACCTTTAGTACCATCATGTTGTATTATATAACTAGTCTGTAAATATAAACAATATCAACTTTTTAGTACCATCATGTTCTATTATATAACTAGTTTGTAAATATAAACAATAACCATGGTTTAATACATCATGTTCTATTATACATGTATAACTAGTCTATAGATATAAACAGTTTAATACAACATGTTTTATCATATAACTTGTCTGTAAATATAAACATTAACATCACATTAATACATCATGGTTGAAGAATTTGAAACACTGTGAAGCAAATACTTGTACCAAAAACAAGGAGACCAACAAAAATAAAATATAATCCCAGATGTAGTTACAATGACATAAAACATTACTGTAGAAAGTACCAAGATTTATTTGAAGGCCAAGATGATTACAAGAAACTTTCTAGGTGCCTTGTTCTGTGTACACACACACACACCACTGTAACATGTTCCAGGTAGTTTAGCTAGGGTGCCCCACCATAAATAGATATCTCCAAATATCTCGACAATTACACCACAATATTTATATACATACCAAGCATTAAATCAGTTTTGCACATATAGTCACTAAATAAACGGTCATGTTGTACTTAATAAGCTTTGACCATTTAACCATCCATAAATAATACACTGAAAAATGGTTACTAGTGTCGGCCATAACATCCTGGCACTTTTTAGTAAAAAATAGGTTACTACATGCCCTTGTTTTGAAATTAGTCTCACTTAACCAGTCTACCGACCCTTCTCCGTCTGATTGACAGGCCGGGATAATCAAAACTACTTTTTTACGAAACATAACAGAAAGTTGGAACAAGAAATTGAATTAAGAAACACGCACATTAGGCAACTCAACAATTGTTTGAAGAACCTTTTAAAAGTAAAATTACTAATAGAATCATGTTCTTGCCTAACCCGAGTGTTTCAGAGATAATATTTGTACTAAACCAAAAGATTCCGCTCTTAACGGTATAGTTAATGATAAAGCAATTTAAAAAATAAAACAAACGTAATTTCTAAAGCTGCTGTAATAACCAAAAAGCTAAATATTATTGCTATTCAGAATCGTCAACAATAGATTTTTTACAGCTGTAATAGTTGATAGATATGTAGAGAATTTCACATTTAATGGCTATTTATAGACTCATAGACTCTTGCACTGAGTGTTATCGCACCGTGTGACTAGCCAGAATCACTTTGAGACAAGCCACCGAGGCGTGCACATTCGTCGTGTCGAGTTCAACTTTCAGTAGAGAAAATTTTGCCTGCACGGGGCACCCTAGTTTAGCACATATAGTTTAAGTTCCTATTTCAACTACATTATTGGGACCAATACATACATAAAACAAACCTGTAAGAATTGAATGAAGCTATATAAAAAGTGTATGTATACCTGAAGTACTGTATTAAGACAGGTTGGTGAAGTATATGATGGTAATGATATATTGCATGCTGCTATAAGACCAGTTGTCTCATCTTTACATGTTATAGATCCTAACTCTACAGCTACTGTATAACTATTATTATATAAATCTGTTACACTATCTAAATTAACTGAAACACAAAATAGATCAGCATTATAATAAATAATCATTGTACCCATATCATTCCTCTCTTTTACATCAAAAAGTCAAAAATACATTAAGCTTTTGTACCTCTAAAACAAATTAATTCTTGTATAGACTATGCGGACAGCGGCCCCAAGGTCTTAAGGTCTACTCTTCCAACTGTCACAGTATCTTTCTTGGTCAACCAACCATCGTCTTACTTACTGAGCCAGAAAGTAAGTATTTAACTTATTTCACGAAAAATGATATAAATGACATTCCTTGACTATTACCTAGTAATTTGCCTGGCATTATGCACACATGTCATATAGATTATCCAGTTCTACATCTTGATAGAACAAAAAAAAATCTACTTTCTGGGTTAAACCTTCTGACTGCATGATGTTTGAGACCATTATAAAAACACAAGATATTACAAGAACTTATTGAGGTATGCTAGTAGTCTCTTACATATATAAAATTAATTATACTTAGGGAAAAATCCAATGAAGAAAGGAAATTGGATTTAATGTGCTCTCAGCACAACTTGTTCATTTCAGGACTAACATGAACATTTTTTATTTCAAGACACTTTAGTAGTATTTTACCTGTAGATGTAGAATTTGTATCATTTGTGGGGACATATTTCTGGAATAATGCTGGTGACTGAAAATAAATCAATTCAAAATACAGTAATAAACAGGAAGTCCCTATGAATTAAATACATGACGTAAAAAAACAATAAATAGTCAAAAGAAAATTATTTTTGCAGGAAATTTTATTTATTCTATTCTATAAAGTAAATTACTGTGCGAGAAAACTTATACTTACAACTACAACACGAAAACCTTCATAATATGTACTGGCTGATAAAGATGGTAGACTAGTACATTGAGTTGCCAAACTAGTGATAGACCGTATACACTGTGTTTGAGTATCTGTCAAGTAAGCTACAAACAAAAAGTTTCAAAAAAGGTCACCAGACGAAAATTTCTGTACTTATAGCCAGTGGTCACTATGTACACTTTACAGCAAGCTCACAGCAAAACTTTTTCAATTACAGTCTTAATCTGTGATGCCACAGGGACCACACATACAATATACACTATTATTAGTATTAAGGTCTTATCACTATCCATATACACTACCAGTCGACTAGTGTGTATTGACGGTTCAATTACTGACCTAATCACTACCCGATTATAATTACCTACGTGTAAGCTACAAATCACTATAATTCAAAGCATTTTTAAGAGCTGACCTTTCTCGTCTTGAATTATAATAGATACATACTTGTGACTGGAATATGTTAGAGTGAATTTTAAAATGACACATTATCTTTGTTTTGTTGGGAGTTGTGGCAATTCCAGCAAAGAAAAGATACTTAATGTGCGGTTGATTTTCTTTCGTCCAAAGTAATGACATTCTCGAACATGTACATGCTGCAACCAACATAAATCACCAAGAAACTATATTACACCCAGCTATTAATTTAGAATGGAAAGAATTCCAAGCCGATTACATTGTCGGTGTCAGATTAAATGAGAAAGGTATAATGATGAGAGGAGACGGTAGGACAGATACACCTGACCACAATGCTAAGTTTGTATTTGATGTACAATTAGTCCAGGTAAGATTTAATTCGTATTTATCACTTTGCAAAGTCAAAAAAAAAAGATTATTGCAAGGTTTGTGTGAACCTATATTTTTGATCTGGCCAACATACAAAAGACAACATTCTTAATCCTGCCAATCTTAATCTACTCCTAACATCAAGGTGTTAATTAATTTGATGAATCAGAGATTAGCGACACATGTACACTTGCATTAAGACACAAATATAGTTGTTACCAACAAAATTAATTAGCCCAAATACTCTAATTCAGTACAGTTTTCTTATTATGTTTCAAACAGTGTTTAGTAAATCTTTAGAATCAAGTCAAGTAATTGTAAATGCAAAAAGACAATTGCATTAAGAGACATTCGAATAAAGATGTTTTTAAAAATATATACCTGCTGGATTTCCATCGGCACATAAAGTTGATGCCAGGGCAGTAGGTAAAGATAATTTACCTTGAGATCTGCTATCATATACAATATAGATCTCATCTCCACTCTAAAATAATACATTTAAAATATACTATTCAAAATAAGTAGGGGATATTTGATTTTTGGGGCATAATACTAAAATATGCAAATGACTACGAAAAAAGTCACTATAGAACCTAACAGAAGAAACATTTCCAGTTACATGTGACGCCCAAACGCACCAATAGCTACCGCATGGAATGCAGGTGATGCTTGGGATCATCATGGGGGTCCAACCCAAGATTTGCACGACTCTGACTTTGAATGTTACAGTCATTGTGGCATTGAATTCCAGGGTGGAAACATCAGTTTAATTGTTTTAGTGACCAGAAAACAAATTTTGATATGCGTCGGCTTACCCAAAATGAAAGGTTACGTGCCCTTGGCATGCTACAGATCGGCACAACACAGGCGGTTGTGGCGCGGACGATGAATGTTTCTAAGTCTGTCATAAGCAGGCTATGGTCCAGATACCGTGATACACAATCTGTACAGGACAGACCACGCTCAGGTCGACCAAGGGCGACAACTCAAGCCCAGGATCGATTTATCCGTACCTTGGCCTTGAGAAATCGTGTCATCACAGCAAATCAGATCAGCGCTCGTCTTCAAACAGACACTGGTGTGAGAGTGAGTGGCCAGACGATTCGGAATCGACTGCATAGGGGTCACCTTCGCGCCCGACGTCCTCGCATGATCCCTTGTTTGAGAGATCATCACATTCAGGCAAGACATCATTGGTGTAGGGATCGTCAACACTGGGATAATCGACGCTGGAGCAATGTGATGTTTTCAGATGAGTCAAGGTTCACTGTTGATTTTTTGGACAGACGTAGGAGGGTGTGGCGTCGTCGAAACGAGCGCTTCCAAGACGTTAACGTCATCAGACATGATCGATTTGGGGGTGGTTCTGTTATGGTGTGGGGAGGCATCACTGTTGCTGGAAGAACGGCTTTACATTTTGTTGCAGGGCGTGTTACAGGCCAGTACTACCGGGACAACATCTTGGCAGTCCACGTTGTGCCGTTCGCACGACGTCATGGCCGCCGTTTCATCTTCCAGGATGACAACGCAAGATGTCACAGGGCCAGGATCGTTACAGGTTACCTCCAACAACAGAACATCACCACATTACCTTGGCCAGCACTGAGTCCCAACCTCTCCCCCATCGAGCATGTCTGGGACATGCTTGGACAGAGGTTACGTCAACGTCAACAACGTCCTGCCAATGTCCAAGAACTTGCTGCTGCGTTGCAACAGGAATGGGACAATCTGGACCAAAATGACCTTAGACGTCTCATTAGGAGTATGCCACGTCGGATCAATGCTTGTTTGGCAAACAGAGGAGGATTTACCCGTTACTGACTTGGTTGTGATGCTGTGGTAACTTTGCTGTTTGACCCCGGGTATCATTTTACCCTTATAATGGTCAGTCTGTGCCTTACTTAGTCTAACGATCATTTGGAATAAATCGATGAATGTGAACTTCATTTCATTTTGTCATTTGTTTCTTCGTCAGTTTCATTAGGTGACTTTAATAACACTTAAAAATCAAATATCCCCTACTTTTTTTGAATAGTATAAATAGTATAGAGCCATGCTAAAATAATACATAGAAAATATATATGTAACAATGTTATACAATATACATGTATATATCTAATCCCCAATCTGAAATAATACTTCTTCTGAATATATTACACTAAGCTTGTTTTCATCTGTTTCATAGCACTGTGAAGTATCTATAGTACACATGTATACCGATAAAATAAGTATCCTTTACATATTATTCAAAAGATGTAATTCTGCTACAGAAAATGTTCTAAGCATTGTCAAATATAAGGCTTAACTAGGACATAGGACAAAACAAACCAAAACAATCATATACGGAGTATTTAAAATATAATTTTAGGACAAAATAAGGACAGAAACTGAAAAAGAAATTCCATAGGGTATTACTGGTCCTCTACATGCCATCATGTTTTAACATCCAGTTTATTACCAATATTTTAGAATATTGCCATTATTAGACACTGATTCATATTTTTGTATATGTTTGATACTTGGCAGAATCAAGATGAATTCAGATTACACACAAAGTGCTGGTCAGGAAATAATTCAGTGATTCTTTAAAATTCAGAGATTCTCTAGAATTTTTATATATAACAATATGGATCAAGTAATATGAAATCAATTTTGTAACATTTTGAGGCCTGTGCCAAATAAGATTTTATAGGTTTCAGAGATATCTGTTTATGAGACATTAAGTCGGGAGGTTTCGTTGGGGCATTATATCTACTCTCGACACTACTGTTACATGTTTGATTATATATAACAATTGTTACCTTGTAGTAATCACCATAAGTTACTGGTTCAGGGCTTGATGGTTCAAAAGAAAACTCAGCATAGTCTTTAACATAAGATTTAAACACCTCTTCAGTTGTAACTAAGTCTGGTATTGTGTAATAATTTCTAGCTGCATCTGAAATGATTAAAAGCTCTTTGTGTAATATCCAATAGCTAAGGGTTATATTTACTTCTTCTTTTAACATAAAACAACCAAGTTCCATTTCTAACCAGTATTATCAAACCAATCTGCACAAAGTCACATCCTTTTCATTAAGCAAACATTTATTATGAGACAAACATGCCTGGAAATAACTGGTCGGACACGGACCAAGTCTGATCGATTTCGCACATTGTGAGGAGAAGCTTCCAAACAGTCTGTCATTTTGTCTGAGGAAAAATTTATCGGCAGATTATCGCCACTTTCGGAAAATGAAAGTATGGTAGACTGCTACCTTTCGTGAATTTTTAACTTTACTTTCTTAGTAGCTCCATATTCTATAACTTGTAGGTTATGTCACAACCCACAGTCGGAAAATGCACATAAAAGTCTATTAATCTATAGTATTACTTTTTTTTCTGAAACATGTCACAGTCTAGTCAATCAACCACGTGGGCTTGCTTTTATGGCCATGGCCATAGTCTCGGAATTCCATTAACAGACATAAAGATAATGTTGGCGAGTGAGAGTAGCTCTATAATTTAAAATATAACTATTCTAACACCCAACGTATACAGGGTTATAATCAGGAAAAAACTACGGGAAGTCAAATATTGACAGGGTCGAGCCCAATGAGCAATCAAATATTTTTGATATCATGGTTCAACAATGTATCGAAAACAGACGAAGTAAATTTATAGTAGGTTCCGAATACTAAAATTTACCGATTTTTTTCACATATATTCAAGGGAACCTTACAAGATAAAACATACATTGTTGTGGAATTTATACAATGTCGTCCTGCTTCAGAGATTTGATATTTTCTCATTAAATCCAATGCTGATACACACTGCGCAGTCGTCAGTCGAATGGTGTAATTCGGTTGTATGTATTTCAACATAGAACCTTTTATTACAAATTTTGATGAAACGTATTCCTGCATATTTACAAAATAGGCTTTCTGTTTAAAATTTCTTACAAGTTCGTAAACTACAGCAAAATAATTATCCATACCCCAGAAGTTCCATATTATATTATTATTCAGATGTAGTATTTACGGCGTAGTAATCTTTGCATGTTTTCATGGTAACGTGTACATAGACTGTGTAGCCACTCCAGTTTTTAAAGGGATTTAATATTTAATATTTGCAAGGTCAAGATATGTATTGTTTTCGACATTTATTAACTGATAATCTAAATAATACTTTATCAATTAATAATACAACAAACAAATAAGTTCCCAAAACAAGATCGTATTTTCAACCTTTTATAGAAAAGGCGGGAAATTGTCACGTGGTTAGGCCAACATTGTCAAAGGCGGAAAGCTATATTATCGGATGATGGGTGCCGATGAAATTTGGGATTTATATTGTAATGAACAGTAACACAAAGTCTCAATCATACTTTATTTAATCATACAACAAATAGTTAAGTTCTCAATGGGTGGTGTGTATTTTAAATCCTCAGGAAGCGTGACCCATTTATTCATTCCTTAAACATAAAATAGCACCCTGCATTTCCCGACCGAGGTATTTTAATTTCGTCCAACAAAACTGCCCTGGCTCACGTCAAATGGATCGCAAAAGATATTAGTCAACAGAATAGATCTTGATAGACTTTGTGCCAACCCAAATGTCAGAATATTAAGTCCGACCGAAATTTTAAAATGTCAGGCAGAATGTTCATCCAGCCAGACATGGTGTCAGACACACATTTAAAAGTTATTTCCAGGCTTAGAGACTAATAGTAGTCAAAAATTTACATTAAATAACTGAGTTAAGTAGGAGTTTTTGTATGAAATCTATCTGCAAGCATCAAGCTAGAAGGTATTATGTGGATCTAAAATTGTATTTAATACAACTAATAATATGTATTTGTATTAGTGATGTACCAATATAGCTACTATCTGTTGTACCGATATCAGATGCTGACAGTGAAACATTTACAAGACAATTTCATACAGATCAGATTATAATTTTTGTCGTTTGAGGGTTCACAAGGTTCTACAAACTGAAACAAGGGCTTAACTCTGGAAGTAATTTACATAAAATTTTGAAATTTGACAGGCTTTTTCGTTTTACTAATCTCAATAATGCAAATAAATTTCATACAGATTGGATGATAACTTTTGTCATTCGAACGCTCGCAAGGTTCACAAAATAAAACAAGGGCCATAACTCTAGAAATAATTGATGGAAATTGCTGAAATTCAATAGACCTCCGTTTCATAAATTTAAATGATGCATATAAATTTCATACATATCGGATGATAACTTTCATCAATCGAGCATTAACAAGGTTGAACAAAGTGTAACATGGTTGAACAAAGTGAAACAAGGGCCATAACTCTAGAAGTAATTATTGTAACTGCTGAAATTCAATAGGCTTTGTGCTTTCACTAATCTAAATGATGCATATAAATTTCATACAGATCAGATGATAACTTTTGGCGTTAGAGTGTGCACAAGGTTCAACAAAGTGAAACAAGGGCCATAACTCTGGACATAATAAAGGGAAATTGCTGAAATTCAATAGGATTCTTCTTTTTACTAATTTAAATGACGCATATAAATTTCATACAGATCGTCAGATAACTTTCGATGTTAGAGCATTCACAAAGTGCAACAAAGTGAACCAAGGGCCATAACTCTAGAAGTAATAAACAGAAATTGCTGAAATTCAATAGGATTCTACTTTTTACTAATTTAAATGACACATATAAAATTCATACAGATCGGCAGATAACTTTAGATGTTAGCATGTTCACAAGGTGCAACAAAGTGAAACAAGGGCCAAAACTCTAGAAGTAATTAAGGGAAATTGTTGAAATTCAATAGGGTTCTTCATTTCACTAATTCAAATAATTCAAATAATGCATATAAATTTCACAAAGATCGGATGATAACTTTGGGTGTTTACAAGGTTAAATAAAGTGAAACAAGGGCCATAACTCTAGCCTAGACGTAATAAAAGGAAATCTTGCCACTGTATGATATTGAAAGGTTATGACCTATTAATTTCATGTGTCATCTTTACTATCTATATAAAAGGAATTAATTTTTGAGTAGAAAACCATCTAGTATGTCATTTTTATTACATGAACACTTGATACGTGTACACGTGGACAACTTTACAATTTAGGCCATTTTCATTTTGCTGTAGCAGTCCGTGTTTGCTTTGGCTTTTACCACAGTTTTGCTGTATGCCGTGGTTAATTTTGAACACTGGCTGTATGATTTATTAAATGATTATGATTTATTAAATGTTATTAAATCTTGTATACTTACTATTATCAAAGTACAAACAGAATAATTCATCGGATGTATAATTAGAAACATATGGTGAGTTATCAAATAAAATTAGTTCAGATCTCATACATAAACGATCATCAGTACTGAAATAAAGGTTCCATATTTTATTCTACAATTTAAACAAGTCCTATCTCATTAAAAGTAGTTTTGCCAAATCAGGTATTATATTGAAATTTTAAAAAATAAATTGTGTATTCATATACCATATATTTTATGTTCATTTAGCATCCTTACTAATAAAATTCAATTTATACCTGACAGATATATTAAGGCATTCACTGAATGCCAGTCTATCATCTGCTGTACAATCTCCATCACAACAACAGTTAACATCACAGGCATTACCAGTTACATCACATGGACAATAAGCTAAATCTGATTTTTAAAAAAAATAAAATAATCAAGTTAATAATTTTATTTAATAAAAGATAACAGTGTAAATTTTCTTATCTGTTCCCTCCACTATTACTCATAAGGAATGATTGAATGAATAGGGGTTGAACATCACTCTTTTCTGCATCCACCGGGATAATGAAGACAGGCATATGCCATACTGTGTGCTATAAGAAAAATTTTGCCAGGCTCCAGGCCTGCACCACTGAAAAGAGGAAATCATGGCCAATACCAGAGTCAAACCTGGAATGCCTGGTAACATCCCAGAATTCAAGATCAATAAACAATGTATCCATCAGTAGAGTATTTGAATTAATTAGTCACAGAAAACTTGTTAACACAGCAAGTCAAGTACGGTAATGTTGAAATGCTAGATGATTGTTCATTGCATCTAGTTCAGCTACGTTCAGGAACGAGTCAAAATTTTTTGATTCCCCAGTAGAATTTACTGGGCAACTTTTTACTCTGAACGCCTGTACAATGTACAGTGGCCGCGTCCAAGTTACTTGGCAGGTTGGGGCATATTTTTAACAGCAAGGTCTTATTTTCTCTCTAAAATGTTCCTTTACATTGTACATGTGTTCACAGGGACTGACACACCACCGTTCAGCAGTAAAAAGTTGCCCTATTTCGACAAGGAGACAATAGGCCCTTTCCTCAACGGAAGGAGAGAGAGAGAGAGAGAGAGAGAGAGAGAGAGAGAGAGAGAGAGATGGGGTTTAACGTCCACTCAACACAAACTAGGTCATTTCGGGACTAACACATGGTTCAATTTTATTTCAAAAATTTGCTTGCGTGTAGGGGTCTTTAGCAGTGGGAGGAAACCGGAGGACCCGGAGAAAACCCACGAGGTTGGACAGGCGACCCTACTCCTTGTCACGTACAACCGCGGATTTCCTCAACGTAGAAGGCTAGTGTAACGAGACTTACGTTCAGAGCTGAACTACATATCATCAGGCTTAAAGTAGCTACATGTAAGTCTCTAACTCAATATCATCCAAAGTCTTCGACATTGAAAACACAAATTATTTGTCAATTTAAATCAACAATGTTGTTGTGATCTTACCGGGAAAAGATGGGATTCTGACAAAAGAAACATTTTACCACTGGTACACAGGTCTTGTACCATAACATTTGTGTTTCAGTGTCATTTGTAACAAGGGAGAGAGAGAGATGGGGTTTAACATCCACTCGACACTAACTAGGTCATTTCGGGGCTAACACATGGTTCAATTTTATTTCAATAATTCGCTTGCGCGTAGGGGTCTTTAGCATTGGGAGGAAATCGGAGGACCCGGAGAAAACCCACGAGGTTGGACAGGTGACACTACTCCTTGTCACGTACAACCGGGGAATCAAAACCACGCTAGTTGACTCAATGACAGACCGTATGAAATGAAATGGAGTTTAACGTCCTACTGTTTTGCAACAGACAGACCGTATGATAAAGCGCGCACATGCTAACCATTCGGCCATCCACCCCGCCCTGTAACAAGAGACTCGAAGAACAAGGCTAAACATATTCCACAATTCATGTCAAATAGTGACATCATATTCTAATCTGGAGAGCATGCGGAGAGTAGACTGGAATAACCAGGCATTAGAGATTGCCATTCGATTGAGACTTCTGGCATATTTCGCCGGAAAATAACTGATTTGAAATTAGAGTAAAAAAGGAAACGATTGAATGTAAATCAGTTTATATAGGCCTACATTCATATTTAATCATATTACAAATGTATTATGACGTGTTGCGACCCATTTGGCATTTGTTGTGCCAATTTCTAGGTCCTAGCAATTTAATAGCTCCTTATAAGTTATATACTGGTGAGAGATCTTGTTGTAACGAGCTAACTCGTTTAGTAGACACATTGGTGTTTTCTCTTTTGTGTTTGCCAAGTTCGAGCATTCTAATTGCTCCGGAATTATTGTAGATTCTGTTGTCGTAGTTACAGTAGCAGCCATATTGCTGGTTTTACTCCCAGCAGATTCCTTGTTTCCATTCTGATCACCAGAAACCATTCTTTGTCAAAATGAAAATCGACAGTTTTATTTGTCACCTTCAACCAAAGTAAATGCATAAAAGTAGTCAAAACGGTTACATTATTAAAGCGTGATATTTACCAGTGTTGACAGGTATCGGTGATGGCGTCGCGGTAATGGGGGTTGTTGTCTGGACTTGCGGCGTAGGGACTGTGGATGCTGGTAATGTGGGTGCAGGTGAGGACTCTGTTCCTACAGGAGCCGTAGAACCTCCAGTAGGCGGTACCGTCGTTGATGCTAACACGAAAATGTTCACAGAGCATTGTGTCAACAACAAAACAATAACAAACACTAATTTGTTTCTGAACACATTCATCTCTACCGCCATGATGTAAACTATGTGGGGCATGCTGGGTTATTTGTTAGCGCTAATTAAATATATTTTTGTAAAAGACAATAATATTACTTACCACTCAACTCATATTTTCACTTTCGTCATATTATTGAAATTGAATATAAAAGATCTTTAAAATATACAAGAAACACCCGAAAAAAATAAAAGGTCACGTGATCAAAATATAACACAGGCGGCGGCAATCAAACAGGAGTTGATTGACCGATGACCTAGTTCAGTAGTTGTACTAAACACTGGTTGTGAAACCAGCGTGGTTGATTCAATGATAATAAATTGATATAACGGTGGTCGAATTCAAATCTTGTTGTCGGTTATTAATAGGTGATTACTAATTAAAATTCTCAATTAATATGGGTATTTTAATTTAGATCTATGTCTAGGCCTAAGTAATACAGGGAAGACAGCCACAGGCATGAGGCAAACGTTTTCTCTGTTTTGTTTTTGCACGAACTTCAGCTTTGCCGCGAATTCTAATTCTATTTTACTTCCGTATCATTGATAATAATTTGTTTTTCAGAAAAATATATTTATATCTACCCTACTGGATCTAACTAAAATCATAAGATGCCTTTAATTCCTGGATCTGAATATGGTTCAGGAGGTTGGCAATTCCAGCAACCTGCTGTCTATCCAGTGTATAATAACAAAAGAAAACACAGCAATGAAAATCACGAAGAAACAATGTGCTTAGAATCAGGGGTAAGATTTAGTTCTATTCTGATTATTGAATAATTTGCCGACAGAATGAAGTTGCAGGCCTAGATAAAGTAAGTAAAGGTCTTTGTGCAGAAAGAGCACTCATACCATTAATTTTTAGTGCTTCAGGAATGGGTTTATATTATTGTCAGGTGAGGTTTGTGATAATTCTTCCAACCCAGTGGCCCACAATATTGTTTAATTGTATTTGTAGGACAAGTTTAATACCTATTGGCAATCAATGATAAAACGATTTTAATTACAAATATTTTCAGACCTGTGTCTTCACACCCACTTTAAAATAGGCTACTTTTACTACTAAAACTAAAGTAGAATTGAAAGGCATTCATTCTGCAACAGAAAATGTTTTCACCACAGTAATATTTAATGTTATAAAAATGTTGAATTTATTTCTAATTATAGATGGTACCAAGCAAACGCCTTTGTCAGCAACAGTTTGGAGAATCTCAGCAACAGTTTGAAGAATCTCAGCAGATGGAACAAAGTGAAATTAACCACAACACAATTCATCAAGATCTCAATCATCAAACACAATTTTTACCTGTCTCAGATCAACATCAGGTAAAATTTTGTTATCTTTTGCTTTTTGTTACTTGGTAAAAGGAAATTTAATAAAAATGATATTAGATATTGCTTGATATTGGTTGAAACAATTTATTTCTATTCTGTATGAATTATTTTCAGGAAATTCATGGATGTATAAAAGATGTAGCAGCAGCACCATGTTTTCAGAATAGTCAACAAATAGAATCTCAAAATATAACGCAGCCACAGGTATGCTGTTATTTATTTGGATAAGTAGAAACAAGTCTTGTTTATGTTATTAGTTCCGGCAAGATTTCATACAGAAGGCTATGGTTACCTTTTCCGGGTGAACTGTTTAATAAGAGCCCAGCCCCAGCTTCTCTGGCTTGGTATACTTACACACTATTTAGGAAACACACATATTTAAATCTTGATTTTGTTAATCATTACATGTCCCTTAAAGTCTCTGAGTCTGATCGTCATTTGAGAGAACTAATGGCTTTTTAGAAACCTTGAACACAGTAATTTAAAATGAGGGAAATTATTTTTGTGAGTGACATTTTGCAATGTAGTAATTCATTATTTTCGATTTTATTTTTGTTAGAATGATATGATCATGGATTTATGTGATGAAACGTACAGCAATTCTACTTTAGAGAATGAAGCTAGTCTTGACATCATGGATAATGATTGTGTTCCTAATAATCAACAATATACGAGGCAAGTTGCTGATTGTAATAATTGTATGTGAGTATCTGGAGAATGCTCAAAATGTATTTAGAGAAAACTGCAAAAACAATCCCCACATAAAAAATGTAAAATATTGCATGTGGGCCTACTATTGAATTATCTCCCTTGACACATCAATTCCATAATAATGATTAGTTTTTTAAAGTTTTGAGATATGTTCAATGAAATCAATTGAAAGAATTAAAATTTTTGACCTGAAAATTCTTTTTCAAAGCAGTTCTGATATTAAATTAATATTGCCAAAAATGTCAGGGAATTAAAGTCTTTGATTATCTCCCTTGAAAGACTAAATAGCCGGGTGCTTGATTGTCAGTCCCGAATTGACAAATTGCAATTGAGTGTCACGGAATTCAACGCAGTCACAATTCTGCCAGTCCCTAAATCTGTGACGGTATGAGTAGAATCGTGATGTATTTTAAGTAATAAATATGTTTCATCTGTCACAAATGGTTGAGATATTTTATGCAGTCGGCACACATGCATTGTAGTCCGAAATTCTCCTTTCAATCGATTGACACTATTTTTGGAATTGAGAGAATTTCATTCCGGAACATTCAATCGAGTATTCCCATATTGAAAATGACTGAACAACTGCCATTTGTGTGTACAAGATAAATACAAGAGAATAGTATTGAAAAGTATGAATTATGTTCTTCTGAATAATACATTACCATAATACGTATCTAATATTGATTTTCTTTTCATATTTATATAGTGGGGAAAGAAGTCCAAGTGCTAGTCGAGTACGATGTTATTGTAAGCCAACCTGGGATAATTTTATGGATCTACGACCCTATATATCAGACTATTATTAACGAAGCACATACTAGTAGAAACCTGTCCTGTTTTCATTGATGGTGCTTAAGCAAAACATTTTAGAGCCACAAATATATTATCTTTAAAATATAATTTTTTAGTTAAAATAGGATGTGGAGTAAGGCGCATGATCAAATGGTTAGCTGTGTGAAACTATATTTTGTTAAGTTGGTATTACAAGTGGTCTTAATTAACTGATAAGTTGCCTTTACTGAGTAATCAACGAATCTCTCATATAGATTTTATAGTTGTCATTTATATGTTATTTCTTTTTGTTCCTGTTATTGCTTGTATTTTAACCTCATAATAAAAGAAGTGCATATTTCTAAAAGGTGCTTTTCTAACATGAAAATAATGTCATTGTATATTTGTGTTGTTTTTGTTTTCTAGTACATTATGTCAGTTATAATAATTACATAAATACATATTAATGTAAATTCTTATCAATAAGAAAAAATGTAATAGCTGAAATAACTTGTAAGATTATGTTTACCATTTTCCATTAAGAGTACTAAATATTTGACTTCTGCCAGGCCTCTGACTTATATTGATGACACATGGTGGCTGGAAGAGAATTATAAGGTTTTGATGACACATGTTTGCTAGAATATAGAAGGGAGTCATAAGTATTTGGCCCTATTTATTGATGGAAATATGTTTCTGAATCCTGTGGAGTTGACCTGTCTGCCTGGGAATGATGTCATAGGATTTAATGCTGTTACAAACAATATCAGAACTGATTAAAGTAGCTCAATTAAATTAGTCACTGTGCATTTAAATTGTGGATGTTTTTTCTTTAATGATATATAGCCTACATTTGTGAGTAGTTTTTTTTGTTTGGTTTTTTTTTTTTTTTTTTTTTGGTTTTCTTTATCTTCCCAAAAATCCTTGTCCCATTGACAGTGAGGAATTATCCACAATAAACAGGGCTTAAAGATTTTGACTCTTCTACCAGCCACCAAAGAAGGTTTTAGAGGCTTAAGACGGTCAAATATTTTAGACTAATTCATTCGAAAATAATTGTTAATATTAATTTATATGATACACATATCAGATGCATACTCATGTTCAGGTACATGCTTGATATAAAAATATTTCCTAATTTAGTTGCTGTGTATATTCTTGCATAATCAATGTTGGATCATCATAATGTATATCTCAATATATATTCAGTGTACATAACTCTTTTTTTTTTTAAATACACTTATATTAGTTGCATTCAGATATTTTTATAATTGAATTATTCTGTGTTGTGGCATATTCTGTTAATGCTTATTTATATGGCTAGTCAATTGTATTTTTATTGTCTACAATTCCAATTTGCTTTTTCATTATATTTAAAACTGGCTTTTAACAGGACTAAACATTGTTAACGAATTGTATTTAACTAGAGTAATAGGTTACATTTAGATAACTGTTAAGAATTAAGAAATATATCGAAAAATTGTTTTTTTATGTAGAAGTTAGTGAACTGGCAGCTCTTTTTTTAAATTCCATTATAGTGTATTTTATTGTTCATTCAATATTAATATTTTTTGTAATGATAATAATCAAAAAAAAAACTCAAAATTTATCAAGTAACCATTTCAGGTTCACTGATAACATTTGTGTTTTTTGTGCCAACTTTATGATAAATGTTCATTATATTTTCTTTACCAAAGTTGAACTGTTTAATTTTCGTAATGGCCATTGTATTTTAAATTTGATTCATATAAAATATAAATTAAATAGCAAACTATTCATTTGTTAGAAATATTTATTGATGTGCAGCATTTTCAACAAAATAAAATGAATTTAATATTGTTGTGACTTCAATTTAGATGTAGAGATCTTTTATGGAATAAAGTAAATTTATATTTTTTTTTAAATAGTGTGGTTTTTTTTAAGCATGCTAAGTTGACAAAGACGATGTTGTTACATAAACAATTTTAAGTAAGTATTGTTCTAGTGCTTCAATTTATGAATTGCAGGGCACATTTTGATATGCACCATTCATTAACGACTAAATCAGGCATATTTAGTGATTAAAACTGTAACAAGCATTTCAAGTTGCTACTTCCATTTCTTGTCTGAAGTATCACACCACTGAAGTTGACGTTACCCATTAACCATTCAACTTGGTTAATGTGATATCAATTTACAGCCTGAAAAGCTATCCAGATTTACATAGTACCATAGCAATGTAATTGGTCTTTCAGCCCCATCTTCATTTGCCCAGTAGGACGTAAAACCCCATTACATCTTTAAGTCATGCCAGTCACTCAGTGACCTATATCTTCAAAGACAGAACACATTGTGATGTTTGGCTTGAGAAGTCATTACATAAGTATACAATACTGTCATACTGAACTCTTTCAAAGACAATGGTCAAGTTTTTCAATTCAAAGAAGAATTCAACAGATATATTTATTAATAATCTTTAGAGATACAGTAAATTTATAACATGATAATATTATAAGGCTAAATATAGAAATTGTGTTCGAAAATAATAAAATTATATTACTTCAAACTTTCCATACTGGTGCTAAAGTGAGGAGTCCACATGGTTTTGTCAATGCTGACAATGCTTCATTGTCGACTACACTGTTTTTGCTGATTGTGCCTACTTTCACTATAGGCCTCCGTAGGTTGTTGACATTGTTGTTGGTTTTCTTTGTTGATAAATGTCCAGCCCAAGATCATGTCAACTATATGTCTAACTAACATTTTGAGTCAACTCAGTGGCATGTTTTTCCTTGTGTCTCAGTATATATTGCTAAACATGGCATAAATTCTGAACAAATTTAATTATACAAACAATAAAATCATTAATATTATTGATACTTGGAATATTAAAGCAAAAATACTAAAGAAACAAATACAAAATGGTAGAAAAATTAAACATAACAAATTTGCATGTTTTTCTTTTTAAATAACAAAAAAACAACTAAAAAAAAATAATCATAAATAATAAATGTTATATTTCCTGCAAATTAGATAAATAATATGAATAATATTGATATGATTGAATTGCGTAAGAATTTATGTAAAACATTTCATTAATTAATGTGAAAGTAGAGGATGTTTACAAAGAAGCAATGTTATACAAATCGAGAATGTTCACTATCATTAACCCTTTTCACACACAGGTGCATACTATTTTAGATCATATGTATTTTCAAAATCAAAACAATAATTTAAGTTGCTAGTTACAACCAAGCAACTGAAACCATGCAAAAAGTAGATATCTTTAAAAGCTAGATTTTTGCAAAATTGAAACGATCACATTTCATTCAAAATTTATTTGTTTAATTGATTTTTATTGGCCATCTTGAAGTTACTACTGTCACTCATTTAAATCGATATACTGCCTTCTCTAAAATTAGTTTTTCCAATCAATGTATTAATTAATACAGCATTTCCATTTTGACTTTCCTTCAGAGCTTCTTGTAGAACTTCTTTGATTCTATCTTCGTTGGTACTATCCAGACGGTAACCTTTACCCCCATATCCTTCTGCTACTTTGTCATAATCAGTAAACTAAAAATAGAAATTTTAAATTGTAATTATGGGAATATTTATCATGCACTGATTTCCACATGACAAAAGAACAAACAATAAATAATACTAATTGAAATCAAAGCACAGCTCAAATTTATACTTTGGCTACTATGATGCAGATCTTAACTTTCACAACATGCTAGACAGCGTTTATTTTTAGTATAAATAATTACCTAACCCTATTTGCAAGTACTTAAACAGAGTTAAAGGCATAAAGGGTTAAAACTGGGTCAAAGTATTTAATGTATGGACAGGAATACAAACCTACTCAGAGTCTAAAATTTGCAACTGTTTGGCTATAAAAAGACAGAGAGAGAGAGAAATGGGGTTTAACATCCACTCAACACAAATTAGGTTATTTTGGGACTAAGATTTAGTACAATTTTATTTCAATAATTTGCTTGCACGTAGGGGACTTAGCAGTGGGAGGAAACCAGAGAAAACCCACCATGTTAGACAGGCGTTAATATAGTGATGAGCAGTTAAGCACTAATTACAAATAAAAGTTATAATTTTAAAAATTCTGGCATAATCCAAATCAATAATGAAGGACTCTATTTATTGTTACTTACAGCTAATTTACAAAATGCATCACTATGTAATAAAGGTACTTAGTTAATTTACAAGCTACACCACTATGTAATAAAGGTACTTACAACTAATTTACAAGCTACATCACTATGTAATAAAGTTACTTACAACAAATTTACAAGCTACGTCACTATGTAATAAAGGTAATACAGCTAATTTACAAGCTACGTCACTATGTAATAAAAGTACTTACAGCTAATTTACAAGCTACATCACTATGTAATAAAGGTACTTGATCTCTTTCTATCTGTGTCCAACCAGCATCATTACCAACAACAGATATAACTGGTAACTACAATAACAGCAATCACCCATTTTTTTAATACAAGCTAACTAACATTTGGATATTACCAATTGTTTAACAAAAGGATTTGCTTACTATGTCAGAGAAAAAAAGATACAGACACTTAATGGATACAGCAAAAGGTTGTTAAGGAGCTGTGTCTGCAATATTATACCACATTACTCTTTAAGAGCATTTATTTGGTCGTACCAAAAATGAACACCAATCTCGATCATCGATGTTTAAACTTGGTTGCCCCTAATCTGTGGAATTCAATTAAAATATACTGAAGATTTAAGAAGAACCTGAAGACTAATTTGTTTAGGGAGGATTTAACTAACTGGTTTTAATAATTTGTGTTACCATACTTTTCTGTGATATATGTGAACCCGTGTTTTAATATGCTATACTTTGTAAACAGTGCCTCAAAACAGATATTATCAATTTATTATTATACAGTAATAAAGTTATTACTTTAGAAGATTAGTAGATTATTTATGTTGGTGTATACAATATATACAAACCTTATGTCTAGTAAATGTATCATATTCAGCTATACTATAACCAACAGTACCATCTCCATATATAATCCATACATCAGCATCAGGACGACATAATTTAGCTCCTAAAGCAAACCCTCCTCCAACACCTAATGTACCAAATGCCCCAGGATCTAGCCATCTTAAGGGCCCTCTTGGTCTAAACAAATAAATATTTACATTATATCGTATTCCTATGTGTAGTGAAAATAGACTATTGTGGAAAATAAATTGTGTCTTCATTAACATAAATTATAATACAGTTGTATTAGGCGATTCAATGGCCTGTAAATTACAAAAAAAAAGTTCATTAAACATGCATTATGCAAGAGCTAAATCTGCCTATTGCAGGTCTTTCTTTAAGCCTGAAATGTTTTCTAAAGTATTAATTAGACATTAATTAATTGATCCAGGCCTTAATCAACTCTCGATGGAATCAGATTTCTCCGATATTAAATAGATTAGAAGGGTTCAGCGATACTTTGATTTAATCAAATATGGAGGATCGAGACTTAGCTTCGATCAACCAGTACAGTGGTTGAAATTATTGCACACGTCTGTCAAACCTTCAAAGGCTAATATCTTCGCTTGAAATAGAGTAATTTGAATGAAATTTTCAAATTATTCATTTTACATCATCTACTTTCAAACTATTATAGCAAGAATGGCTAGTTCTTTATCTAAATCTTACATAATGTATCTTTAAATCTTCAAAACGCCTGCATAAACCTGTTCTATTTTAAATACATTTCTGTTCATTATTCCCTGGTTTAGTATGAGTCTATCATAACGAAAACATTAAATGACAACTTAAACATTTTATAAATCAATAGTCTAAAGTTAGATGTTTTTATTACTACGCAATGATTTTAAAATTGATTGTGTAACTCTCTCTATGCTTAGTAATATATTCCTATATCCCTAGAGGTTTTGTCTAGTGTTTTTCCTTTGGTGCGGAAAATCCTAAATTGTTTAGAGGACAAGAAAAACATTTAATAATCTTTAGTCCTGGAAAGAAAGATTTTGTTTGGTCCAATGTTAGGCTTAGGGTCCAACAAATCCTTAACCTTCCTTGTTCATGTACATTATATAGTTAAAGTTAGTATCAATCTAAATTTTGGGGGGTCACGATAAGACGCTGGCTCGCTAGCCTGGAGGTACAGTGTTCGATCCCTGCATTGGCCGAGAAAGTTCATCCAGATTTTCCGGCGAGGTTCCCCCTTGTCAGTGATAGGAGGACAGAGGAACTGCAAGGAAAGCTGTCTAGTCATTTGGATGGGATGAAAAACCAAGGTCCCGTGGACACATTGGCATGCACGTAAAAGATCCCTTGACAGTTGGAATTCGATATAAGAGTAGTCCATAGTGCCACTGTCCGGGCAAAATTTCTCTCATAGCACACTGTAAGGTGTATGCTGGTCTTTATTAGCCCAGTTCGGAGCAGAACAGTAGGACTTTAAACCCCATTTCATTTCATTTCATTTCAATCTAAATTCTCTGGTCAGTGATAGTGAGATATTAATACCTGAGTATATAAGCAGCTGTAGCTACAAAATCTCCACCATCAGCAACCATAATAGTATTATCAGACATTACTTCTTCTACTATCTGTAGAACTTTTAATGGATTTAAATGTTGATCGGTACTTTCCTCAGCTTTAGCTCTGAAAATTAAAATTCAAGAATTTCAATATATTTACAAACATTGTGAGGTCAAAGACAGAGTTAGTGTTTTTGAGTAACAGCAAATAAAGTGTTCAGCAAAAAGAGAGATAATTGCAAACTACAATAGAGGCTTCAACAAATTTTAACATAGTTTCCACTTATTCTGCTTCTAAGATTTGATGACCTATTTCAAGAGATGTCGAGCCTTGAAATTCCAGATTTTGTGTTACTGTCTTACGGGAGCCCATGTTGAGAGAGAGAGAAATGAAGTTTAACGTTTACTCGACATAAACTAGGTCTTTTTGGGACTAACATATGGTTCAATTTTATTTCAATAATTCGCTTGCACGTAGGGGTCTTTAGCAGTGGGAGGAAACAGGCGAACCCGGAGAAAACCCACCACGCTGAACAGGTGACCCTACTCCATGTCACATACAAGTGGGGAATCAAAACCACGCCACTTGGCTGAATGAAAGACCTTCAGATTCAATGCACAAGCATTAACCATTTGGTCACTCAACCCCACAAGCCCATGGTGAATAATGGGAAAACTTGGTGGAGGTCAAAATAGTGAATTAGTCTTTAAGTGCTTGTCTCATTGGAATCATATAATTCTCCACTAATAATGTAAATATATGTATATGAACAGATTAATTGATGAAATTGACCATGTTAGAATTTAATATATTTCCAAGGTGTAATCTTTTTGCTGACCAGAACATCAGATAATTAAGCTCAGGTTAACACAAACTCCAACAAAAGCACAAAGCTGATATCGGTACTTGACTGACCTTTTTTAACACACTTTTTACCATTCTTCATCAGACTTAGGGTTGAGAATGATTAAGAGTTTTGAAATTGTCAAATTTAACTTAGGAGAAATAATTCTGAAATTCATCATACCTATTGGCCTTTTCTTTTTCATCATCACGTACAGTAAGCTGTTTAACCCAATCTTGATCACATTTATAATTATCACCTAATTCTGCCTGTAATTCTACAACAAAACTAGCCACATCACCCTGTACACCAACAGTAGGCTTCCAGAACATATCAGAATTCTATAATAAACATTAAAATATTTTCATTACTATTTGAAAATATGTTTCTGATAAAAAATACTAACTAATGGCTGGTTTCACAGATATAGTATCCTTTAACCTGCAAATCACATAACTTCCATTAACAATGAAACATTGCAACAAATATCTAGAAATATCTGATGTGTACTAGTATTCAATTTCTCTACAAAGGTATTTCCAAAAGTTCGAAAATTCAGTGTGAGACAATACAAAATTGCAATTGGTTGAATATACTGATCACCAGTTGGACATGGATCATCAATTGGTGAAAATTAAAAAAAAAAATCACCTTTTTTTCAGACAGCAAAACTTGAAATGAGATTCATGTTTAATAGGATATTTCTTTGCGATTGCTCATGTTTGATATTATATACGATTGTAATTACAGACATTAATGCTATATATTTATAAACATTAACAATAAATATCGAACAATCTTAAAAACATTTATGCATTTAAAAAAGATAGGGTTTTTTTTACTTTCTGCACCTTTAGATCAAAATGGTATGAAAATTTGTAATAAGGATTCAAGAAAGTTACCCAGAAATAATAGTTAAGTAAGAATCAGATTAATTAATATTATTTACCACCCAAATAGTGTTCCAAAAAGGTAAAAAGTAAAGGTTTGCTAAACATTTCGTCACATTCTCTTCAAATTGTTTGATCCTATGTCATGGCCAATGCCAAGATGCATCTTATGCTGTCAATTCTGTGTAAATCAGATAGTTATTAATTAGTTTAAAGCCAAAAACACAATTTCGAAAAAGGTTACTGATAATTGAGAAAATAACTTTGTTGATAAATGTTTTATTAGGGAAAAATAATATGAACTTGTTTGAAACAAATCGGCCAATAAAAAAATTATTTGGGATACATAAATTGAATCAGAGAATTGCAGTTTAGGAAAAAGCCATACAAATTAAAAAATAATTGTTTTTTGTTAAGAGTCAAATTTTCAAAACCTGATGCCTAACATTTGTAATGATTTGTTGAACATCAAAACATTGACCCTTTTTTATAAGCCCCTGTCTGTCTGGACGTCCGTCCACAATTTGTTTGTGGACACTCTACAGGTCACAATTCTTATCCGATTTTGGCAAAACTTGAAATATAGGTTTATCTCCAAAAGATCTCAGTTCCTTTCGATATTGGCATGTATCAGATTGAAACTTCATGGATTATGGCCCCTGATTGTACGAAAAATCACATTTTTAGGTTGTGGACACTCTAGAGGTCACAATTTTCATCTGATTTTGATGAAACTTGAAATACATGTTTATAACCCAAAGATCTTGGTTCCTTTCGATATTCACGTATATGGGATCATAACTTCCTGAATTATGGCCCTCGATTGGACGAAAAATCGTGTTTTAGCATGTGATCCCTCTAGAGGTCACAAATCTTTTTCGGTTTAAAAAAAAATATGAATATATCACCAAATGATGGTCGAGTTCAAATTTTGTGAAAATGGGACCAAAACTTCCGGACAAAATGCCACCCCTCGTAAATGTATGGTATATCAAGGTTGTGGACCCTTTATAAGTCACAATTTGGATCCGATTATAATGAAACTTGAAATATTTCTTTATGAAACATCACATTTGTTTTAGCTTGTTCTCTATCCATTTCTTGCAAAATGTGGGTGTATCTTGCCTGGCAGCCGCTGGTTTATAAAAATAGACAGCAATAATTTAGAAAATGACAAATTCTGAAATATTTAGGACACGTTGGTTAGTCGCAATACTTGAGAAACAGATATAATCTTAAAGTCAGCCACACTTTCAAGATAATAATTGAAGCGTTCTGAATGATCCGACAATGAAAGAATCTTGACACATACACATGATACTTTAAAACCAGTACAAAGATCCTTTATAAGAATTAGTATGAAGTACTTGTTTAATTAGAGCAACAATGATAAATATCCTACAATTTTCTGGAAAATATCACTTACATACCCATTAGTATGAAGTATCTGTTCAATTATAGCAACAATGATACATATCCTATTATAGAATTAAAGAGGCATTATTACATTCAAAAAGAAAATAAATGTAATTAATTTCATATTCATAATTAAAATTTAACTATAGATTTTATAATAAAATCAGGCTGATATTCTGAAACTCCAGCAGTTATCCCATGTTTGTTTTGGGAAATTTGTCACAGTCACAGTGTCACGAGTGAATTAGGCTTATCTCAATTGGCCAATATGTCTGTGAGATATTGCACACAATTCTATTAATAAAACCCTTCACGTGACAGCATAGTAGTCTGAAATCTAGTCAAATCGAAAATCAAAGTGCCAATGCCTCTTTATGATAAATCAACCACTTTATTTACAATAATTCCATAGGATCTGACGAAATAGTAAATAAGAGACGAATATAATACAGGGATATGAGTGAAAGGACAATAAAAATGACATAGTTTTAACAACTACATGTATTATATTAGTTTCTGTCATTGAGTGGAGTCTGATATATTCATTCTTGACAATCACAATGAATCTACTTTTTAAAGTTTTACTACTGGGGATATTATGTATATTTCTGTTAAGTGTAACTTCTGCAAAACAGAGAGGTAAGTATGAGTATTATGTGTATTTTGAAAGATTCTAATCACTTTATATTTAGGTTCTCATTCAGATATTGTATATTCAAGAGCAAATACATTGAAACTTCCCTTGATTAACAAAAAATTTACACAACGGTTCCCAAAATCATAGTTTGTGACCAATTTAACAAGCAAGTTATTGACATGGAAGATATGCCCAAATTTGGCAAGGGATGGACCGAAAATGAGCTAAACAAAAATGTGATTTTTGGTACATCATGGACCATAATCCAGGAATTTATGGTCCGATATGCACGAATATCGAACGGAAACAAGATCTCTTGGTTATAATTATAAACATATATTTCAAATTTCATCAAAATCGGATAAAAATCATAACTTCTAGATGTCAATAATCTTGAAATTACATAGTTTTACCCTATTTGCATACGAGCAACCATTCTGTCAGCAGTTTCAGTCTGATTTTCACAAAATTTGAACATAACCCTCATTAGGGTGTAACAGTGATATATTTAAATGATTTTTTCGATGTGATCTCTAGAGGTACCACAAGCTAAAAACATGATTTTTCGTACAATCAGGGGCTATAATCAAAGAAGTTGTATGCGCTAATATATTTGAACGTTTTTTAAAATCAGATACAAATTTTGAGGGTCCAAAAGCCAAAAAACACAATTTTTCGTACAATCAGGGCCCATAATCCCGAAAGTTATATCCTTGGGATATAAACATATATTCAAGTTTCATCAAAACATGATTTTTCATACAATTAGAGGCCATAATCCATGAAGTTACGATTCGATATATCTGTGGGAGATCAACATATTTTACAATTTTCATCAAAATAAATTGGGACCTGTAGAATGTCCACAAACAAATTGTGGATGGACGTCCGGACAAATAAGGGCGATGACACTATACATCCACATGTAAATGTGGGTGTATAAAAAGAATTGAATTACTCTTGGAAATCTGTTGTATGATTATTTTAACATGAATCCAAGCTGGTAGATTATCTAGTGTTGGTATTTTGATTTTGTTTTTCTTAATCAAATATTACATATCCAATCTGAGTACATATTTAGCATTTATTAGGGCATGAGAAATTTGGTATTTTAGCAAAAATGTGAGCCTTAATTTATATCAAAATCTTTAATATGTTTGATGATCTTCTGATTTCATCAAACTAAATTAATAAGATATCAATTACTTTTGAATATCCTTTATGTTCATCAACTGAATATTTCAACATATCTAATTAATTACTTATCTATTTCAATGTTTTACCCTGGAATCACTTTAAATCTTAAGTTTGGCTTGACTTGTACCAACAGAAGAATGGCAGGGGGGTGGATAGGCAGGGGGATTACATAGACAAAGACGCTGTCTGCTCCCCGATCCGAACTTTATGTACACATCATGAAACATGTCCTGTGTAAAACCTGGAGCAATGGAATAGGATACAAATTAATTTTAATGTCTTTAAATGAAAATTTACTTTATTTCAGGCACGGAAGGTTTAACTGGTACAATTCTGGCCAGAATTATGTGTCAGATGTGCAAAAAAAAGGGTGATTTACAATGTATGAGGAGATACTGTTTAACAGGTTAGATTCAGTGACCATTCTTCTTTAAAGCTGGTGTATTAAAACAATTTATAAATCTAATAGGCTCATTCAGTGACAAGTCTGCCTTAAAGCTGGTATACCAAAACAATTTATAAAGCCATTGGTTTCATAGCAGAATCTATCTTTAAATTCAAAATGGCGATTATGGGACAGTTTCTTTGAAATTATGCAGATTGTTATAAATTATTTATTTGTTTATATTCCATTTTTCAAATAAATATATTTTCTTTAGTGTTTGATATTTTTTTTATTTCAGACATGTGTCTTATGAAAAAAACAGAAATGAAATTAAATGAAATGGCCTATGTTGTTGATCCTAAATGTCATTAGTTTCATTTCAAGCAGAACCCGTTTTTAAACTCAAAATAGAGATTATGTAAACAGTTTCTTTAAAACTATGTAAAATATTTATTTGTTTATATTCCACTTTTCAAATAAATACTTTTTCTTTAGTGTTTTTTTTTTTTTTAGACAAGTGTTTTAGAAATGAACAGAAATGAAATAAGAGTTTAACGTCCTACATGTCTTCCTTTAACTGTTTAATATAACTTAAATGATATATTCTGTTGTTATCAGGAATTTAAATTTCGTAATCATTGATTAGATGATATATTAAAATACCAGTACAAATTGATTTGCTGGCTAAAACTACAAAATTTACTAAACACAATTTTTCAGTTTGTGAAATGTAACTCAAATTTTAAGTTAGAAATAAGCAATGGATGCCCTAATTATCTACATGGAAATGCATCTTTAAGCAATTGACATGTAAACAGGATACAGCATTTATACTTACTTCAATTTATAACAGTTTACTGTCACAAAATGTGACAATGTACTGAATGTAGCCTATATACTTTGTATATAAAAAAATAATCACACAGGGCTACCCTAGTGTAAAGGTTTGCAAGAGTCTTTTCCCCAAAATTAAGCCATGTTATTCACTGCAGTTAGTGAGATAAAAAAAAAAAACATTTCATTGAAAAATATGTGTTTAAAAAGATCAAAATCAAGTATTTAATTCAGTTGATCTGATGTGTTACTGCAATTAGTGCTAGGGCAAACTGCATATCCACAAATAAAAAAAGCTTTTTTTTTTAAATTTCACATTTTGCAATCTGGCACAGAATAACTCTGAAGATCTGTCCAAATTCTATCAATATTTTCAATCAGCACAAATTCAAAGATTTGGAGTATTTTACACAGTTATATTCTCCAAGTCACTGCACATTTTTAGGAAAGCCGAGGACTGCAAAACAACCTCACAAGTACTTCCTAATGGAAAAAAATATAAACTAATATAAAAAGTAATCCGACCAAAAATAATAGTGTTTTACACTAGTTACAAAGTGTGAAACCATAATAACGTAAACAGTGTCTTATTCAAGGACACAAGGATTTGACACAAAACTTGAGTGAGGATAGATCAGGCAAATGCATGACTTCAGATATCTAGCTTGCTGACTGCTGGGTCATTACCTTCCTTTTGCAGGACAAGTTGATATGCCTTGTAACTCTAGTGTTTTATTCCAGTTCTTGAAGCTTGTTAGAGGAAAAGCAGAAAAATATATTTGTTTTTAAAGTATCTGATCTATACATTTTTTGAAAATGTTATAAATACCTTATGTAATTGATCATAATCCCTATTAACAGCAATAATCTTTGATTTACGACTTAACACCCGGCCATAGTTTAATCTAAAATCACATACAGACCCTAAACAAATAGAAAACATAAATACATATCAATATAAATATCAATCATTATCATCTATAATATGACAGAATACAAAACATTTCTTATTACAACACATTTATATAATTAGTAGAGGGGCCATGGTGGATCAATACTCTTTGTGTAAGCTAAGTAGCCAGGAGGTCCAGGGTTCAATCTCAGTATTAAATATAAATGTAAATATTATTGTATAACATACCAGCTAAAATAACTAAATCTGCTTCACGTAGTGCATCACGCCGTTTCTGTCGACACTGTATTTTACTGTACCTACCTAGTAAACCACGAGACATACCACCCAAAAAACATGGTATACCCATACTCTGTAAGATCAACAAGATTTCTATAAGGCCAAACCAATCTGATATTAGTTATTTGGGATCTTGACAAATAGACCTTATGTGAGCGCTGGTTTTATTTTAACTTCCACCCACAAAAAAGGCGGCTAAGGGCATTGAAAATAACAACAAATTTTTTGTTCATCTTTTAATTTAATTGTTTATTGAAGAAATAATAAGCAAATTTTTCACAGGCGGTTCCCCAAAAAATTACGTTTAAAGGAGCTAAATCGCTAATATTTGGGACCTAGAAATTGACCCAAATGGGTCGAAACTCATATAATAATGTAATCTGACTGTATAAAAACTGATTTACATTCAATTGTTTCCTTTCTGACTCTAATTTCAAATCAGTTATGTCCAGCGAAATACAGCATGTGTCTCAACCCTATAGCGATTTATAGCGTCAGGTTATTCCAATCTATTAAGCAGGCTCTCCAGTTGAATATGTCTAGCCCCGTTCTTTCTGGTCACTTGTTGCAAATGATGCTAAAACGCACTATGGTACACGATTCGTGTACCAATGGTAAAACGTTTATTTTTTCTTAAATATTGGATATCAGAATCCTGCCTTTTCCTGGTAAGATCACAACATCAATGTTGATTTGAATTGACAAATAATTCGTATTTTCAATGTGTAAGACTTTGGATGATATTGAGTTAGAGACTTAGCTACTTTAAATTGGTGTGGCCAATTCAAATATGATACAGTTTTCAATACATAAAAATCGACTTTAAGATTTTACAAGTGTTACCACACCCTCCCATGCCCTTTTCAAGCAAAACCATGCTCTATTTAAACTGCTCCATGCCATGATATTGAGAAAATAAGTCAAAGTCCCCCTCAGATCATTATTCATTATATGGAATCTAAAGAGTTGTACTGAGAATCACTCATTCAACGACAGTTTCACTAGAAAGTGGAAAAAGATGATAACTGGGCCCTTATTCACGAAAACTTAAACTAAGATACAATCGAAATTTTAAGAAATACTGCAATTCGATTGGCTGACCAGTAAAATCAATTTGCATATATCCAATGAAGTTGCAGTATTTCTTAAAATTTCGGTTGTAACTTAGTTTAAGTTTTCGTGAATAAGGGGCCTGTTTAATTGCTTTAATTATCCCTGAACTGACAAATTATCCAGCTTGTTAATTCATACAATCTAATTTGAAACCTCTGTTTTTTATAACCATACCGTAAAGATCTCCAAATACCAACCGGTCTATAATTCCATTATATCTTGTAGATGAGTTATGGTTGATATGTAAGTAAGTAAGAATAAATGTTATACCTCCAGTGCTGATCTTAGATCATTGACATCTGTAGGTGGTAATGTAGCTTGACTACCAACTAATACAACAGGCTTCCTGGATCTAGACACTAACTCACTACACTGTTTTACTAAAATAGCATCAATATCGTACTTTAACAGCACAATGATCAATTTAAAACAACCTCCTCTCAGCAACATTTAAACATGCATTATGCAAGAGCAAAATCTGCTTATTACAAGTCTTTCTTTAGGCCTGAAATGTTATCTAAATTATCAATAAGACATTAACTAACTTATCCAGACCATAATAAACTCTCGATGTCAAGGCTAGCCTTCGATGTTGGCTGGATTAGATTCCTATATGCCACTAACGACCATTGATAATTAAATCAATAAAGGTGGATAATCGAGACTTGCTGTTTATATTAATGATTTTAGTAATGATGACCAAGACTATGCCAAAATTTCACGAGCTTCTTTCTCGGCTCATGGTGGATCAATTTGACTGAAATTTTCAGCAAATTACCTTTACACTATCTAGTTTTTAACTATTATAGCGAGAACTGCCATCTCGTTATCTTATCTCCCATATTGTATCTTTAATACAAAACATAGCTTTAACAAGTTTTCTAGTTTATTACTAAAAACATGAAATTATTGTAAATAGGAAGTAAATAATGACAGGTTTTAACACTGAAGAGAATGGCAGTTTCATTGTCCCATATACATTGAGAGTGTCATGACATGGCAACATAAAGATTTAACGCAACTGCAATAATGATCCAATTTCCAAGAATGCATAATTTCTTCTAAGATAAATTGGTATAATAACAATGCAGATTTGTAGAAATTGATTCTAGGTGTAAATCAACATCGAGGAAAACCAAAAATCCAATCTGTTCAACGATGAAATCATCGCTCTTGGTGGGCATGGGTCAAAATAGAGGGAAGCTGCATGTAATTGTTCTTACCCTGAGATCTACTGGCCATGGGTTGCTTAACTGGCAATGGTCCTGTTGGTCTAGGTTCCCAGGCTCCAGAAAATAAATTTGCTAAATGATTTCTTAGATACCTGTGAATCAGACAAGAATAATCCATTCCTTTATAGTTATAAAGATGCACTGTATGGTGATCACCTCTAAAACCTAGATCCTATTTTCAATTTCACTAATTTAGTTCCACCATGTGCGTCAAGTTTAGACTGTGTACAAAACAGATTTGCTTTACATGTCTAGAAGGAATGGTAAATACAGTTCCACAGTAGATCAGACACATTATTAATAAAAGCTTTGATATAACATGAAAACAATAAAATCTGATGTCTGCTGCCTTTATCCCAAAATAAAATATGTTTAGTAACATTACTGATGTGCGGAAGTTATAAGACAATTTTCATCAACCCACTCCATCATCTGCTCATCACTGACATTTTCCTAGTGAACATCTGTAACACTTTTGAACATCTTAACTCAGTTAAAACCAGGGTTATTGTGTTTCTTCGAAAGGCGGACGAAAATAAAAAAGATGTCTTACCACTGAACAATTTTATCTACAATGCCTTTTCCTGAACCCTTTATACCCATTTGATCTTGAACTAATTTGTAATTATATAAAACATCTATAGGTAATTCTACAAATACTGGTCCTGTAAATATAATTTATATGGTGTATTAATTCTAATTACATAAATCAGCTAAAATTTGTGGCCTCTACAGGGTCCACAAGCTAAAAAAAGTGATTTTTTGTACAATCAGGGGCCATAATCCATGAAATTACAGTCCAATATGCACGAATATAGAAAGGAACCGAGATCTTTGGGTGATAAATCTACATTTACAGTCTGATACATGCCAATATTGAAAGGAACCGTGATCTTTGGGATATAAACCTATATTTCAAGTTTTGTCAAAACCGGATAAAAGTTGTGACCTGTGTAGTGTCCACAAACAAATTGTGGACAGTCAGGCAGACAGGATCGACGACAATGTACGTCCACCTGAAAATGTGGACGTATAAAAATCATCTACTGGTAGATAGATCATTCTACAAATATAATTGCCTGTGAAAAAAAATTATGTATGGTCTGTTGACGCGTACGAACCTGGTATCTCAACCTTAAGATGTAAAACTCAAGTTATATAATCATAAAGTGTCTACACTGTAATATATAACCTAAAAACTAACCTGGTATATGGGTCATTCCACAAAATTTAATATGGGGTCCGAATAAAAATGTATATATATCATTGCTCAAAGCAACAAAAACACTTATTTTCTGATTACCAATTGTTGAAAAATCTAATTGATCATGTAATATGTTTATTATTTTATACTTATTTACTTTTAAAATATTCAAAATCGGTTTGTGGTTAAATTTTTCAATGTTGCAATTCGTGGTGTCCATGAATTTTTATGTTACATTTTGGGGACATTTTGTACTTAACAATGTAACTACTAGACCATATTAAGCACAAGATTATTATTTCCAATTATTTTCACAAAACATGCACCAGAGAATCTAAGATTTTATTTACAATTTTTTCATTTCTAAACAAGTGGTAAGTAATCCCAATAGGAGGATTTTCAATCACGTCCCACAACGTAAACTTTTGTGTTCTTAATATTTACATTGTATTATTGTCATTTTAGTCACGATCTTACTTTGACAAATCAAAACAAAATGTTTCATCTTAATTCCATTTCATTGAAGTATAAATAAATAACAAATTCGGAAAACGTAATCAGATGTATTGTGTAAAATTATCTGTGAAAATTTGATTAGCTTTGTCGATGTTGTAAATTCGAGTCCCTCGTTCATTATATGAAGTGCTTGTTTATGCCAATTGTAACGCCCTGTATTTGCTGGCAGAGAGATATGTTTAGTTTATGGTCACATGATAGACATACCTCAAGTAGATACTGATACATGATATTGATTTACAAATAGTTCATATGGACTGTTAAGGTCAAACAAACTTCAACAACTTTGTAAAATCTTTATTTTATTAAAAATCTACACAAGAATTCTACACGTAACTTGTCATGTAAAGATGTTCATATCTTTTCTTTGGAACTCATCAATGAGAAATCAGCAACTGTCCTTCAAATGGCATACATTACTCCTATTATTGGTATAATTTTATCAGTGATTGAGATTACTTAAAATATTTGTATCTATGTCACACATTGGACCCCCCCACTAAAGAATGACCCATATATAATGTAACAAACTAACCAGGTGGATATAATATAAAAACTAACCAGGTGGATTTTAATGTAAAGACTAACCTGGGCCCTTATTCACGAAAACTTGAACTAAGATACAATCGAAATTTTAAGAAATACTGCAATTCGATTGGCTTACCAGTAAAATCAATTTGCATATATCCAATGAAGTTGCAGTATTTCTTAAAATTTTGGTTGTAACTTAGTTTAAGTTTTTGTGAATAAGGGCCCTGGTGTATATAATGTAAAGACTAACCAGGTGTATATAATGTAAAAACTAACCTGCTGTATATAATGTAAAAAACTAACCTGGTGTATAAAATGTAAAAACTAACCTGGTGTATTAGATTGGGCTTCCTGTAAAGCTTGACGTATTGTAGGTACTATATCTCTAACAGTAGTAACAGTAGCACAGAATTTACACAGTGGTTTAAATAATGACATCTGATCAATATCTTGTAGAGCTCCTCTTCCCTGTAACACAAATATTCATCAAAATATTACTAACTTTTTTCATATTAAAGACACAGTCCCAAACATATTACTGACTTTTCTCATAATAAAGCACTTTCCCAAACGTATTTTAGTGAATAAAGCTGGGTTTTTTTAAATTATTATAACATGAGTAATATAGTTAACATGTGGCATTGTCAGTAAGTCTGAAAACGACCAATCTGATTAAAATACAGATCTATATTTCGTTTCGTTTTTTTACAATTTTGATGGCCTACACTACATGAAGATCTGAACGGTTGTACTGGAAGGTCGCGTCAGGGGTCATATGAGCGGCTTTAGACCCTCTGGCTTCAAACATTGATTAATCAATCAGCAATGACGTTTCTAGTGGTTTACCCACAGTTTTGTGCATCGCATGCCAAGAACTCACTGTAACAGACCGTTTCATTGGCTAATTCCTCACTTCAACCAGAATGCCGGTAATATAACAATTCTTCCAGATCCTAGTGTAGTATTTTGAACTATAAAAGATAGGTTGCCAGGCAACGAAACATACGCCCACAGCAGCTAAATCGTCCGGGCAGTCAACAAGAGAGTTGTCGCATATTTTTACTTTTTTAGGTAATGAAACATTTATAATACACTAAAATCTGATTAAGAGCAACAACTCAGAAAACCATTAGAATTTGTTTGGTTTTTATAACGTTCTGCCCCATGCTAACGTTTTGTATACAAATCTTTTAATACTGTATCATGAATTTAGCTGTTCCAAGTCATAAAAATTCATTGAAAATCAATATACATGTTCGTCTCAAGATCTTAAACTCTGTGTATCAATCTGCAGTCAATCGGATTTTAAACTTTGGCCTCTAGAGCGTCCACAGGATTTTTTTAAGTGATCAAGGGTCATAACTCTGGCAGTTATTATGGGAAATCGCTGAATATCAAAAGGCGTATTCGTCTCATGACCGTAAACACTGTGTATAAATTTAAAGTCAATCGGATATTAACTTTGGCCTCTAGAGCGTCAACAAGATTTTTTGAAGTGATCAAGGGCCATAACTCTGGCAGTAATTATCGGAAATCGCTGAAAATCAATAGGCTTCTTCGTCTCATGACCTTAAACACTGTGTATAAATTTAAAGGCAATTGGATATTAACTTTGGCCTCTAGAGCATCCACAAGATTTTTTAAAGTGGTCAATGGCCATAACTCTGGCAGTAATTATCGGAAATCGCTGAAAATCAATAGGCTTCTTCGTCTCATGACCTTAAACACTGTGTATAAATTTAAAGTCAATCGGATATTAACATTGGCCTCTAGAGTGTCCACAAGATTTTTTGAAGTGATCAAGGGCCATAACTCTGGCAGTAATTATCGGAAATCGCTGAAAATCAATAGGCTTCTTTGTCTCATGGCCTTAAACACTGTATATAAATTTAAAGTCAATCGGATATTAACTTTAGCCTCTAGGGCGTCCACAAGCAATTGTGGACGCCAGACGGACAGACGGACTGACGGACGGACGGGGGTGACGACAATATACGACCACATTTCAATGTGGGCGTATAAAAATGAAATGAATTAGGATCTGTGTTTTAATCAGATTGGAAAATGACATTACATATATTACCACTCTCAATACAGCTAATTCCGTAACAATGAAATTCTGTAACTATTTCATCACATTTTGGCGTTTTATTATCTAAACCTAATTCTATTATCAGATACCCATTGAAGGCTCCTTTAGACCATTGATTTTGAAACTTACAAACTTCTAAGTACGTTACAAAATGAAAATAGCATTACAGATCCTGTTCTATCGTTGCCTAAAAGTTGGCTTTAAATCCAATTGAATCCATGCCAGGACATTATCTAGCTTTAGTATTTTTATTATGTTGTCTTATTAAAATGTTAAATCATCAATTTGAGTATATATTAGCATGGATTAAGAGATGACAAACGTAATATTCTAGCAACAAAAACCAATGGCACCTTGGGACGTTGAGTATTAGTTTGTATCTATAGTTTTTACACATGAATTTCTTACCTTTAGTAATGTAGCTGCTGCTCCACCTAAAAGTAACACAGGCGATTCAGCCATCTGAGCATTTTTGATAGCTGTTACAGTATTCGTTAAACCTGTAACATTTAAAAGGAAAATTCATCAAATCTATAACATGTGCTAAGGGAAATAACTCTTAATGGGAAGATTAGGTAAAATCCAGTCTATAAAGAACAGTTACATCAGATTCTATGTAACGATTTTAAACTTTTAAAACACTTCATAGTATTTTCATCTTACCCTGAGTTACTCAGACTTTTACCTGGTTACATGAAAAATTTCATCTTCACAAAGACTATACATGTATTTCCAAACTTTCAGGTGAGCTCTTAATCACTTGTTAATATATTGAAGACAGGCTGTATCAAAAGAGCGTCTTTGAAATTAAGAAAAGCAGTGAAATGTCAGAGTCACTCACTGCGTGAAAAGTATTGTCAATAAAGCAATGGCTCATCTCGCTACATGTAAGTTCAATAGATTTGTGATTCTTTATGTGTACTCAAAAATATGACCCAGGTGATATGTACATTAATGTTGCGATTTTCCAGATCAAAAAACATTTTGAGGTGCTTGATGCAATAAATTGATAAATGAAGAAATTTATGAAGGAAAATTATAATTACCGGGGCCAGCTGTCACAGCACAAACACCAACAGTACCAGACATTCGTGCTACTGCATCAGCAGCAAAAGCTGCAGTTACCTGCAATTAATTAATATGATTACTGGTTTCTCCATTAAAAACTCCCTAATCTTGCAATGTTTTAAAATAGTTTGACAAACTAAAATATATACAAAATGTAGGTATATAACAGCATATTTCCTTTCTCTTGAAGCCTGGTGTCAACTGACATTTTTAAATGTACCACTGATTGATTATAATGGCCTCTATTACTTTCCCACTAAAAATGTCTGTAGAACAAAATTTTATAACAGCATCCCTGTTTTAAACTGATGATAGTGAAGTCCCACATGTATGAAAATGTTTACCAGGGATCATAAGACCATAAATCATATGTTGAAAATATGTAGGATATGCTAAATGCATACATATGATTGATTGAATATCATTTGCCATTATTCTCTTGATAAGGGTTGTCTCCTGATTGTCTATCCAGAGGCTATTACAGGTGTTACAAAGCGCAGATGAGCACAATAAAAGCTAACAAAAGTATCACCTCATGTCTTGTATCTATAACTTTAATACCAATCTTCTCACAAGCTACAAGTATAGGTGATATATGTCCTCCAACTAGCGTAAATACATGTTTTATATTATGTTCCTACAAAACCAAAACACAGATTTCACATACTTAATAGACAATCTTTTGAAAAATTCCAAACCTTGTCTAACAGCTACACTACCCAGGGAGGGTGGGGAGGGTTTTTTTGGGGCAGATATATCCAGTACCGGGAAGTTTGTGGTGCATCTGCCTCTGATGTGTAGCCCTGACAAAGCAAAGATCAAACCAGTACAAAGAGAAATTTGACTGTTACAATTATTGGCACCAGCAGTGGTAACATCAAACTGAACATACTTGTAACTGATGTCAATAATAATATACAATATCTAAAATGGTTTAAATGTCACAGTTCAAGAGATAATCATAAAATTCTGTACTTTTGTACAGTGTACACTATTTGACAGTTTATTGAAAAGGACCCACTATTGAATTTGGTTACCATGCTCTAAATAGCATTCATATGTGCATTTGCCTTATTACTTGAGGTATGCATTATTTTAACATTTATAATCCGTTAACTTAATTTGGTCCCATTTGCTTTATTATTATCAGTAACTTAGTTAATAAATTTTAACTTCAATATTACAATGAATATTGTGTTTATTAATAAGCATTGATAGCTATCCTATTCATCTCTGAGTGTGTCGAATGACAGTATATTTAGATTTGAAATAGTGAAGAACTCATGATTTAATGTTTTAAGTTACAAATATAGTTTCATCGGCATTGCAGGAAAAATCATTAATGGGTTTATAGAATTGGGCCTTTAAGCCAACTTTTCAAAATAAGACAAACCAACCTTTAAAACCTGGGCCACCAGTTCTCCTCCATGTCTTGTTGAAGTCTCATCTGCCTGCAACAAAGAGCAAATTCATTTGTGTACTGGCAGGACAAAAATCATGGCAAATTTGTAAAAACTTATGATTTAAAATTGAAGTGATATTAAAGGAGCTATAAACCTCTAACTCAATATTATCTATAATATTGAGAATTAAAAACATGAATTAGATAATCTTATCTTACCGCAAAAATATGGGATCCTAATATTCAATATTTAAGACAAGGCTAACATTTTAAAATCAGTACAGGAGGTGGTTTACTTTGTGGACATAACGGTTTCCAGCACCATTTGTAATGAACAAAGTGAAACATACCCCAGAAGACACAGAAGTAATTACAAATAGCTGATTCATAAATGATAATATAACAACAACAAAAAAAGTGTAGAATGGATTAAGCAGGTGCAAACGACTGCCATTCAGTTTGGACTGTTTGCATGTTCACCGACCATAATTTATTAAAAATGACAATAAAATTTTAAAAATTGAATGCAAATCAGCACTCATACTCATATATTTTATTTAGATCTATTTTCGTCTATTTTGAGGTTCCCTTAATAATTGACCCATAAATAGATCTTAATATTATTGTTAAACAAATAATTAATTATGATAAAGAACAAAAAAGGTAAAAATTATGATGACAAATATTATTAGGCCACAAACCAAATATGTCAAAGTCCACTGTCAAGTTTTATTATGTGAATCATGGCCTTGCTGAAAATTGCTTTCTAAATGTGTTTAAAAATCAAGAAAACCTTATGAAAATACTGGTATATAATGCCAAAACGCTTCAGAAAGAAAATAACTCCGATTGTGGCTGCAGACACAGTAATTGGCAGTGCATACTGAGTAAAATACTTTTGCAACTCTGGATAGAGCTTGTCCCACGACGCCATTTTGTTTACATCACGTGATAGCAGGTGACCGATGTCAAAGGTCGAGTCATCCTTCAGGGTCTCGACCGATGACGTCGTCTCAACAATTTAGTCCTCAAACTGATCAGCAGTGAATATTCGCTAGGCCGCTACAATTACTGAAAGAGATGACTTACGTAAAAGTCAATTAACTCACAATATTAACTTTTTCCTTCTGCAAATTAAATTTTAAAACATTTTTTTGGAAGTATTAGAAAAATAAACAAAGGTCTTTGAAGTATATAATAGTACGCGAAGGCGTAAAATGAGTAAAAGGCACCACTCTGTCCGGACTGGTTTATGTTACTACGCGCCCGATGTCATATCTTATAGTGATTGTTGTTAGCTTAGCGAATATATTCACTGCTGTCTTGCTGATAAGTCTGTTTAGTCCTTCCGATGAAATTTACAGTACAGCTGGTAGTCTGAATTAAAACAGTACAATCAACATTCTTAGTTCCTTGAAATATCTAAATAGACTTGAGTTGTTGGCCAAATAAATAGACTACATTCATATCACATGATTCACAATGTAGCGCATGGCTGAAAAAATGGATGTTCACCGCGCTAGAGATTGTACTAGCCCTCTCTACAATTTCTATGATTATCCGACCTAAAATCTTATGCGCCATGTTGGATTCGTCTTTTTTGTCGTATCGTACAAAGTCCTGTCTGTCGAAGAGGTTTGGTGCATTTAGTGTTCCAATAATTTGCTCTTTTGTAGATATTGTTTCAAAGATATACGGACAGGAAATTGATGGTGAAAATGTCGAAATTTCGAGAGCAAATGACAAAAGATCAGATTGATATGTTAATAGAAATGTATCGTTGTGAGGAATGTTTATGGAACACAAAACACCCGTCATATTATAATAAAGAGTCACGAAATCAATCTACGGACAATATTATAGAGGCAATGGAAGAAAGTTTCGGAACTGAATTTACAGGTTACTAATTAATTAAAACTTTTGATGTTTTCTTCAAAAATATAGTAATTAAAAGGTCTTATTTTGGTATAGTTTAAAAAAAGAAAAATGAATGAATAGGCCTAAATAAATAAAACATCTAAATTAAAGTGTTTAGTCTCTACCGAAACCTACCCGAACTGATTTGTACGCTATTACAGATGCTGTCTGACTGAAGCCAAGAACCCGGAATATTTAAGGGTCGGGGGTGAGGCGGGTGTGTGGGGCGGGGGGGGGGGATGATCAGTTACCGTAGGAAATATTATTTTAAATAAATTTCATACCTATACTTCTAAATAGATAAGACGAAGAGGACGAAATAATAATTGTGGGTGAATTTCAATATGGCCTAGGGGCCTAATTACAATTCAATAAAATTTCTTGTTTGCTTATTTAGATGGAACGGCGCTTGCTTGAATTAGTCTATTTTTAAAGGCTGGCGACCAGCTTAGTCAGAACCAAAACGCACCGTTTTGTCAATTTTCCGAATCTCCGAATTTTTTTATTGATTAATTTAACTTCTTTTTCGATTAGTTATCTTAATTTGTTCAATATTGTTTTCCAGCGGAATACGTAAGCAATAAAATTCAGAACCTCAGATCTTATTACTGTCGGGAAACTCGCAAAAAGATAGCGGCGAAGAAAGGCGGAGACGACTATCAATGCTTATGGATATATTACGATTCCTTGGACTCCTTTCTACGAAATCACGTGATGCCTAAAAGAGTTGGAGAACAGGTAAAATGGTATGGGTTATTAAAACGACTTACCCAAACACCACTGAGTGGAGTTTGATCTTAGTCCAGTAGTGTAATTTATAGAAATGAAAAAATGCACCAAGCGAAATAATGAGACGGGTATACACCACGCAGTGGGCCATAAGGGAAATTTTGTCTGGGCAGCGGCACGGGTTCTTTTACGTACACTCCAAAGTATACACGGGACCCCGGTTGTTCCTCCGATTAGAACGACTAAACTTTGTTCCTTACCAGGCCCTCCACGCCAGAAAATCGCGAGGAACTTTCTCGGCCAACACTGGGATCGCAGCCGGACCTCCTGGTTAGTGAGCCAGCGCCTTAATCACAGAGCCACCGCTGCCCCGTGTAAATTTATACAGGTAGATACTAGTAGATCTACAATAGTAGAACGAAGATTGGTTAGCTATCTGTCTTCCAGGTGGTATAGCATAGCGTGTTCTAGAAAGGGCAAGGTTAGACGACCGGGGGTATAGGACGACGTATCGCCCTTATCCCAGAGCTTCACCATAATAGATTGAGAGAGAACCATATAAGATTGACAAATCCCACAGGATCTTCATATCGTGAATCCAATAACCCCATCCACTCAGTAGTCTTGAAGAGAACACTTTATTGCATCGTATGGACTAATATCGTCACATTTATTTAAAGGAAACCAATGGTTCAGCGGCTGACCAGATTGCTGATATTGACGAGGGAGCTGATAGCGATTCTGAGCAGCTGGATGTTAAGAGTGAGACCCAAATTAAAACCGATAATAATTCCGATTCCGAAAGAACACCACGGGTAGAAACAAAGCGAAAATTGAGCTTAACTCAAAGTACCTCCAAGGCAACTCCAAGAACATCAACAAGACTAGAATCTAGTAGATTTAAGAAATTACGCCCAATTGTAACAGATTGTTCAGAGGACGAGGATATGACCTTTGCTAAATACTTGGCTAACGAAATGAGGAAAGTGACGGACCTTAGAACAAAACAATTAATGAAATTGAAATTACAAGCTATTATATTTGAAGCGCAAGATGGACCGGATATCTAAGATTGTATACATGTCATCTGATTATAAACAGTTGGCTACAAGGATTCAAGAATTCAGTAGCGCATTTTAGGGGTTGTCTGTGGTATCACTATACCACCAGCTACTATTACTTCTACTACTACATGTACAATTATTTTAGGGGGAAGCTAATAAGTTATTGGCAGTGTGGTAAACCCCTCACCCCACCGCTTTTTGAATCTGCCTTTAAGAAACTTTTACAATTTAAAATGCCTGACCCCTTCGGGAATCCTGGATACACCGCTGATATCGATATGGACACAGCCCGGTTAGATATGGCGACTGACCTAGTGTTCTGTGTATGAAAGGGGAATAACTCTTTTGACATTGTATTATTTTTGCCCACTGGCACTGGGCTTTAGCAGGGTTTCGTAAAATGGTTTGAATTTGAAATAAATGCACCGATAATGTAACGGTGTACGATGTATGGCGTAGAGTCTAGTGCGGTTTGATTAACAGTTTCACCATTAGGTAAACAATTCCGTTTTGTTCCATATAATTCTCATTGGTGGTTGAAGCGGTTATACAAGACAGCGTGGGATTTCTCCCTTTAAATAAATTTTATTGTTATCTCAGGATTATTGCATTTTTATATTTCAACTGCCGTAACGACAAGCAAAGGGTATTACGCTATAGAAAACAATTGGTGACAAGCGTGCCTGTGTTAGGTTCGTGACATGTCAATACATTTTGTTTAGCAAATCAACAATTTACAGTTAAGTCTATGTTAATAAACAACGGCTTAGCTCTCCACATTAAACTATTATACCCTTGTGTTGGTTACACTGTGGATAATAAAAAACGCTATTTTCAACACCAGTTTCCCCCCGTTACCCAGTCAATATTGGGTAATACGCACATCGCATTTGGTAAAGGAGTTTCTTGTAGAACTAAATTATACTTTGGTGAGACTTGCTGTTACGCTGTTGTAGGGCTACGATTTAGATCTGCTTTACTTTTCTCTACAGAAATCCCAATATGGATCGATGGGTCTATTACGACTATCAGATCTATTTTGCTTCAATGAGATACAAAGCAACGATCCCAGAGGCAGCCGACATTTTATGAGAATTATTTCAGAGAAAAGTTCATTGTTATAAATACTATTTGTAGTTTGTAAACAATACAAAAACTGTAGTGTCAGCTTATTTGGTTTGCTTTTAAATTTCCATGCCTTGATCATGGGAGTGTTTCTACGTTTTGTGGATCCTTGGTGGAGTATTTATCTAAAAAAAGGCTCAGAACAAACTTGTTCGGAGTTAGAGTATACTATACAAAACGTTATTTATGGGTTCCGTTATATAGTCTAGTCTATATATAAATAAAATTGTACCTAGCTCATGTCGGTAGACGGGTGTCGAAAAGTTAAGCCCAGAAAAAAGAGCGCCTTTTGTCGGTGACGTTAACTCATTTTGGCGTACAATTGTTAACAGTTTAACATGTTGAAAAAAGTTACTAACAAATCGAGACAAGTGTGCCACTGTTGACTTGGGTTTGTCAACGAATCATGACACGCAAACACTGATAAATTGGTTGAATCTATAAACTAGAGAAGTGTATGCTGTGACCACGGTCCTTAGCTTGTCATGGGCTGGTGAGATCTCCACATTTATCCTCAAACATCACCATTCTGCTTACTGCCTATTACAATCTAGGGCGGACATATGCGATTAGCAAATATTCTGAATTTGACAGACATTACCCTATTATAGTTTAAAATTTATGGAGTTATTTAATGACAGGATTAATGGGGGTTTATCTTCAATTTCTCTTCTTGAAACATTTTGACAATAAACTCGAAACTACAAATTTTATAATCTATAGAGAAGAGTTGTTTGTTCGCCACGGAAAGCCAAACGGTTGAACAAAATAACCAGGGTTTTTATAAGAAATTTAATGGTGCTATGTATTTTGTATTTATTACAGTATTTAATGATCAAATTGATAATTATTGCGTTATTATGGATGTTAGAAGAATGGAGATTTTTCACCCTTAATGGAATGGGAATATGAGCTCGTATATAAAAGAGAGCGTTAAACTTTGTTTGAACGGTTAACTTGTAAATTTTAAAATAACTTGGTAATGATCCGATTTATTTTGTATTTGGTGCAGTATTTAATGATCAAATTGATAATTAATAATTATTGCTTTATTATGGATGTTAGAAAAATAAAGATTTTTCACACGTGAAACACCGGGTAACTCCGCTAACATATTAAAGAGAACGTTTAAATAAGATTTAACGTGACGTTTCTTTGAATGTTTGTTTTTTCGCCATATGAATCCAAACGATTGAACGTGTAAATTTTAAAATAACTTCGTAATAACTATTTTTGTTTACAAGGAATTTAATTGTTCTATTTATTTTGTATCAGGTGCAGTATTTATTGATTGCTTTGACAATTATTGATTATTGCGTTATTATGTTAGAAAAATGGAGATTTTTCATCCGTGCAACACAGAGTAACTATATAAGTGTCTTAAAAAGAAAAAGTGATAAGCAATGCAGAAAAGGAGGACGTTAAATCCCATATCATTTCGTGTAAAGTAATAATAGGTAAACTTGGGCTGTGGCAGACGGACCATTTCCCAATGGCTTAACACTGCAAGCTAACAATAAAATACTTGATTAACATTTTAACAACCAGAATCCTGAGAACTGCACGAGATTGGTTTTCCCTGCCAAAGCTTTCATGAATAAGGCATTCGAATTTGGAACGCTTACTTCTTTTATGTTTTAAAATCTCTAACATTATTATTGAAATAACGGACTCCTGTAGATGTATCTTAGAATGGCGAGTGATTGCCTTATAGCGAATATGAATTTCACACCCGCATGATCAATATTGTTATAATTAGATTTAGACCACGTAAGAGCAAACAAGTGCTGCAAAACCGCATTTATTTCTTTTTTCAAGAAATCATTTAATGTGATTTTCATTTCAAAACAACACCCAAAGATCTGTACTCGATCGAATCTACGTCGTGGGCGAAGTTAATTTTCGTGTGAACAGAATTCGACACTAAGAACTACAGTGCAAGCTATCTCATATTTCATTCTTGCTGCACATTCTTAGCCTTTAGCACTGGGTCATCGTGTTTCCACACAGGCTAATGAGTTTTTGATAATAAATAAATAGATAGTGTATTTTGACAGTTGTTAAGTTTATTTGTGAGCTAAATACGACCATCCTTCTCAGGATTCTCTTATGTTGCACACGCTTCAGCATTGAGCTTTATGCCCTCAGCTAGATGAAAATGCTAACGTCAATGTCCGCTGTAAGAAAACTCAAGATTTAAATTAAATCCAGATTTACAGACGCGTTTTTGCATAGAATTTCGGAAATGGATACGATGTTCTCTTAATGTAAGTATAAACTTACTATTTATTTTGTAAAAAGATTCCCAATGGGCGTCAGATCACTAATTAATTTCAAGATTTCCTTACCAGGGTAAAACAACCAATTTGAAATATCGATTAGTTTTACGATGGCGTAAAATATTACAACAATAATAAATATGGACAATATATCGTAAACCTACTTAAATATAATTCAAAGTAATCTTTCAAGATTATGCGGCTATTGTTATATATTGGCCGTAAGGAAGGGTCCTGTTCAAATTTGAATTCGTGCGAACACGAATCATTGTTTTTTTGTTCCTGATTATCGATGCTAAAAACTACCAAGGCCAGTCGCTCATTCTATATTTACTGTCCAACATACAGTTCCGGAAAAGTATTGTAATAGTAATTTTAGGCGATATGTTATGTCGTTTCGGATAAAAGAAAAAAAAAGGTGAAAAAAGGTAAAGACATAAAGATGTAATAAACTATAACACATACTTATGGAAGAACAATTACTGATTTATTTGGGCGACGTTTCGAAGAGTATTCTCTCAACGTTTTCAAGCAAGTACAGTAACAAATGTGTAGAGCAATTATATATATGCCTCTAAAAGAACATAAAGATGTGTCATGTCGTTACAATAAAACCAAAGGGTTCTGTATCCACAAAACCTGGTTCTGAGAAGCTGTTCAAAAGTAAGCTTGATCTTAATTTTTCTTGATTTCAGTAACGTTGTCTGAAATTAAACTGTTATGTTGTCGTTAGGCACGAGGTTTATAATTTTATTTTTTGATATTATCCAAAATCATACAAACTTACATTAAGAAGAATTAAACCGACTACAAAGCGATTATTTAATCCAGGTGCGGCCTTTCGGGAGGTTGGGTGATCGAATCGTTAGCGTGTGCACGTTGTATCATAAGGTCTTTTTTGGCGTCAACTGGTGTGGTTTCGATTCCCTGGTTATACGTGACGAGGAGTAGGATCGCCTGTCCAACCTCGTAGACCTCTATGCGCAAACCAATTATTGAAATAAAAAAAAATGAACCATATTGTTAGTCCCGAAATGACCTAGTTTGTGTCGAATGGGCGTCAAACCACGGAATACTTGGCTCACCTGTCTATACCAAAATTAAATTCTCGAATTATAAGTTATTGCTCTTGTTTTATTTGGTACTGCATACTAGTAGTCAAGAAAAGTCTAATATTTCGACCTCTAATCTTTTTGCATCCCGCAGTGGAACATTCTTTTTTTTACCTGAGGAGCTTAGTTTGTCCAAAACATGTTTTATCATGTCGATTCCTTTTTGGAACACAAAAATCTTACATAATAGCACACCCAATACTTAGAACATTATGAATAATTGCCTAGTTAGATAATGGTATTAAATTCAAGTGCGTCAGTATCAGAACTTTTCAGACATTATCAACGCCTGAAACATTTTTTGAGGATCTTGAACAAACTTAGATAAATCATAAGAAGTGCAGACAAGAAACGAATTTTGGCTTTCTATTTCTAGTCACTTGGCAAACTAGTTGTTGATTAACATGTGCGTGTGATCAATCATCCACAAACATGATTTTCAATGGTTAATTTGTGTTCGAGGTGGTAGGCCATATGCAATTCTACTTAATCTTTACTTTTTGGTCGATGTGTGTTATCTGTAATCCTCTTCACAGGCCTCATCAAGCATTACATAAGTATTGTAAGGTTTCTTCCCTGAATTCTGTTGGAGGTCTTTTACTTCCCTGAGGTGATTTAGTGCTAGAATGAAGAAGAAAAACTGTGCTCTAATATCATGTAATTTAGTTTTTTAACTTTACATTAGCGATGATAAGATCTTATCAATAGCAATCCTGCAATTATCATGGCTTTATATAATAAAATTATTTGCCACGAAGAAGCCGTGTGAAATAGATAATGCGTTCATTTCCTGTAGTATTTTTTTTTTCAAAAGTAATCACTTTAGAAGAATATATTGTTCCGCCGGTGAAAAAAGGGAAGTCTTTTTTTTATGTTTTAGATATGAAATCATTTTTTTTTTTTTGCTTTATTTACCAGCTGAATTGCATAGAATATCGGATCACTAATGAAACAGCCGAGATATATTATACATGTACTTTGCTTTATGATATTATCCATTGCATATTTGACAAATGATGGTACCTGGAGTAAAACTGATACAACTGGCAACAATCGGTACACGAAAGCTTTAATAAAAGCGGCATATAGATAATTAAATAAGTTATGTAACAATAAAAATCAAATGAATTCTGCAATTAAGTTAAATTCTTCATATTTATTCCGTTATTGGGGCTAACCAAGAGATCTGGAAATATATCTTTCAAAAATATATATTAATGTACTAATGTACTGTACTGCGGTGCATTAATATGACTGGGTGATACAGGCTGTTACTAACAAAAACAAAGGGGAATTCCTTTGACATCATTTCGCGTTACTTCCGGTCCGACGAAGTTGATAATCACCACGTGATAGCGCTTCGGGTTTGATTTGTAATTAATAACGCTGTAAAATGACCAATTTAATTACATTGAAAGCTGTATAATGATCAAATAAAATCTCTATGTCTGAACTAGTGAGTATTGTGAGATAGCAGACGAAATGTCGTCAACAAGTCAAAACAATATGGCGGGTGATATACGTTGTAATATATAGTCAAGCAGTAGTAAGAAGTTTTATTTTAATCCCTTCACGTGCCTGTGTTTTTTCCCATTCATTTGGTAATAAACATGGCCGGATTCACCTCAAGACAGAAACGTGCACATGAATAAGTAAAGCCTATTTAGAATAAAACTAATCGTAATCGATATTAATTTATCACATTCTCGTAGTTCTATATATAGAGATCGTCTAGACTATGTAATAATAGATATAGAAATGGTAATGTAGAATATATGAGAATTCTACAAGAAAAATAATTACAATGGTTGTTAGGTTGATATATATATATAACCAATGCTGTGCTGTAATCTACATCAGACAAGAAAACTTTAAGAGAAATGGTAAAACATCTGTTATTTAAACGTCTTCGGTGTAAGTAATGGTACAAAAAAGACAGAGTAATAAGGTAGTTAAATGTTAATTAGCACATATCCTGGCTTTCGTTATATTGCATTACGCGAGATGGTACAAAAATATGTTGATTCTAGATTGAAAATGGCACAAGACGAATAAATCACCACTCTCCAAAGTTTCTTATGTAGTTTTGTCTGCCACTGTGTTGCAGGTTTTCTCATGATGACTGTTCTCCTATTGAGTATTATCTCTGTAAAAATCATTTTCGACTTCAACACATTTCCAAGATAACTGAACAAATTTTAATTGATTTATTAAGATGCACGAATTGCCTATAAGTTGTTGGCTCAGCCCCCCCCCCCTTTTAACAAATTATGTATCCTACCTGATGACCATGGTGTAAGTACCGCACTAGCCTTCAACAACCTTTAGCCAATTTGTTTTAGTCAGATACACATATCATTAGCCAAATCAGAAACTTGTAGCCAAATTATTTATTCATTTGTTGTATTTATTATATTTAAAATAAATGGTTAATTGTACTTATTTAGTACACAAAAGCATAAAGGATTTTGACGTATCCATGTCACGTGTCATCGGTAATTCGGCGTTGGAGATGTGTCGGAAAGAAATATTTATTTCAGTCCCGATAACAACATGTTGGTCGCGACCGGTAAGATCGACACTAGGTACTAAAAATCGACACAACAGCGATGCAGTCGAAACATAGATTTCTCGTATAGTTCTATGAGGGAAAGAAGTGTTGATGAATGTGACGTTTAGTTCCGATTTTACAGATTTACAATATTTTATTCACAAAATATTCATTGACCAGAAATATTGTCTGGATGACATATTTTATGACCAATGGAAAGAAATATCGCCAGTGGTGAATGCCTAGCGCATACAATGCCATGAATTTTCATCATTTGACACACACGCCCAACGATTTAACCATTGACAATTCTCTTCTGAACATTTTTTCAAATTATGTAAACCTTGTAATAGTTATGGAACGAACAATCAAGAAATAGATGTGTATAGACATTAATAATATAGGTATGGATCCATCCATGTAACAGTGGCATAATTATTGCTCTTTTCTTTTAGTTCAGAGTTCACTAAAGGCATTTCTCTATCTCTAATTATTAATGGTATCACGATTGCTTTTATTACAATTTCTGCACATTTAGCCATTTGTAATTATTTGTGTAAATGATCTGTTCGTTCCATTAGATATATATATATATATGTACGTATAAATCTTTAAACACAACGCCTATTTACAACTTTCTTGCTCGTAAAATGCTCTCTTTATAGTTCACACCTCATTTCTAACCAGTTTTATTATCATATCATTCAAATAGATGATGTTCATGATGAGTGGAGCTCTTCAGCACGGGATATAGAAGTTATGAATGATTTTCCGAGCAAGATGGCTGGTCGACAAAGCTGTTGATTTTATAGCGTTTACTAAAGGTTGTTAACGGGGTTTTATTGTCAAACATTCACGTACAATCTGTCTGATTTCATTAATTATGTTCATTTTCTATCTCCATGATTCAGATAAGCATCTTTCTAAACATGAATCCGGGAAGTAGTTCTGTGGCGTTGTTTCGGTGTTCAGGGGTGTATGGTACCAGGTCCCATAAAACAAGAAACCACGTCTCTATTAATTTTGTTTTCTTTTGAATACGATTTAGAGATTTGATAATATCCTTCGTTCTAAATGTTGAAAATTCCGAATATGCACCAAAAATATTTAACTTAAAACTCACATTATACAAGCATATTCATAGTACAAGTTTAAGGAATAATCTTATACCCTAAAACCTAATCTTAGAAGCAATTCCTCGGCCCACACTGTCCATCATTTGGAAACTCAGAATAGACAAGTTTATGCGTTCGCTGAACCCAACTCCTTAATTAGGTGTTAAACTTCATTGTAGATATTAAATGACATTTTAAGGATAATACTTGGGGAATTTCTGTTGTTAAACATTTTATTGGAATGTAAACGTTAAATGAAGATATGCGGTTTTATGTGAATTCCTAAGCAGTAAAGTACATTGACGTCAAAGTCGATTGTGCTGTGTGACAATATTATAATGATAGACATTACCGTGACAAGAATGTAATGCATTAAAACCAAGTTAAAATCATAATAGAGCGTCCACGTGGATTGAAATGTACAAACTGAATTATATACGAATTAGCTGTACCTTTTTAAAAATTTTATCTCTGAAATCTTTATATTAATTCACTTAATCATTTTGCATTTCGGCCAAATTTTAGATTCCAGATTTATTCTCAGCATGTTTCAGTATGTTAGATTGTTAAATTTAAACTAGTCATATTGTAGCATACCATGGTATATAAGTCTATGTATTGCATATGTTCATTACTAATGATAAATCTAATTTAAAATTTGTAGACACCGGAAAGTGTATTCCGTTTCAAAATATTTGATGAATTAGTTCCTAATTGTATCTGAAAGATATATATTTACTTAAAATTCTTACTGAATTCTTCACTTATAAATTCTAATCCATACGTTTTACATTTCCGCGACCATTATGACAATTGCAATGTTTAACTTTTGATATATAGATTGTTGAAACAATGATGAATAAGACCGGGAATAAGAAAAAAAAATATATATTGGAAAAAGTTAGTGGATTACATGTTTTTGATATTATATACGGCTGTGGGATTTTAAAAATTCGGACGTATTTTATTTTGAATCGTGCTAAAACTAAATTAAATGTCATAATGTTTATTAAACGTGTTGTTCTCGTGAGTGGTCAAAGAAATATAATAAATCGTTGTAAAAATATGAAACTTTCAAACAACCAGAAATTTCGAATATTACACAATTTTATTTGATATCAGTAGACACTTAAATTAAAACGAAAACCATCAAAGACACCACGTGTTTTGCTGAGTTTATTATTTTTCCTGGGGATTAAAATCCGCTTCATTTGACGCGAACAATATACAAACCAATTAGAGTCACGATGATGGGCTGACGCAAGGCGAGCAATTATCGTCACAATTATTATTTCACGCTATTACGACCTTACATAAACGACGTTAGTGAGAGGAATGACACAGTGGGTTGGATTATTTAACTCCACCGCCCAATAATAATATTAGAAGACTGTCATTATGTGATAAACAAGTAACATAAAGAGTTTATTTGGTTAGCGCTATCATTAAAGGGACTTACACCTGTCCACGTTAACTAATCACACATGTCAACAACGCTCGTTTCAATTTTACCTATACCCTTTAACGGCGTGTTTATACCATTACACTGTCATTTCTAGTCAACCAGTCTACAAGATAGTTCATGATATCTGGAAGTGTCATATCCAACAGACCGCACTCTGAATAATATAGTCTAGGAAAGAAGGCCCGCGTTTCATGTTCAAGAGTGAATTTCTAACCCTTCCCTGTACACCAGAACAATCAACGTGTAAGTAATTTTCAATATGTGGTTTCTAACAGAGATTTATAGGTACATGGCTCTTGTTTTATGTCTCAGAACTTCTTAAATATCAAAGACAAAATATATTTGAGAAAAGTAAAACCATGCTAAAAGCAATATTTTAGTTGTCTGGTTTCGTTCTTGTTACAACGTCGGCTGAGATCTTCAATTAGTCTTCTTTGTGCAAATTTAAATTGAGTTGTAAATCTCAATTTTACAGAGCCCTACAACAAAGTATAAAAGAAGAAGATGTTATCTGAACATTTTAGGAGCGAAATTTAATACAGCTTAGTATTTAGGAATTCCAAATATGTAAAACGGGGGTAATTAGCGTACCACTGCATTTGTATTTTTGAAAAGATTGAATTCCAATTACATCTTAAGATTTTAAGATATTTGTATATTTTGTTGTGATATTTGATATAAAGCTAGAGGGGTTATCTTTTGGGTGAAAATATGGGTTCGGCAGTAGTTATAATGCACTATCAATATTCTTTATTTAAATAGAGAATAACCACAAAAATACTGACTTAAGACTTATTAAACTTCATATAGTTTCATTGTATAGGTTTTCACCCGGTCCCCCGATTTCCTCCCATTGCTAAAGACCACCACGCGCATGCGATTATTGAAATTAAACCAAGTTAGTTGCGAAATGATCTAGTTTGTGTCGAGTGGATGTGAAAGTTCCCCCCCCCACCCTCTCTCCCCCTCTCCCTCTCTCTTTCTCTTTCTCATATAAGTTCGGAAAAGGTCATTTACCATTTGCCGACATCATCAGAATGATGTATTAGAAGGATAGAAGGATGATAGTCATAATTATTTTCTCTCACGTAATTGCTTTAAAATTATATCTATAGTATGACCTAAATAACCAGGAAGGTTAGTAAAACAATAAAACGGAATGTCATTAAATACAAATATATTGTGTCACTTATGTCAAATTAAATGTGGTTAAAACTATAACAAGTACTTCCGAGATGACGGGGCCGCGGCAGTCAAGCGCCTTGATCATTTTTGGGGCAATGTTTTTCCGTATTTCTGGCAAAAACATCAGAGAATGAGGTCATATAACATAGAAATAGAATTTTTAAATGAAATCGCTCGCGATGTACGTTTTAAATACTATAATACTTCAGTGGAGCTTTGTATAAACTCGGTTTAGTTAAAGATTGATTTATTCTGAAAATTCGGGTAACAATTACTGACAATATTCGAATATTCGTGCGGAACACTAGTTGCCACATGTCAGGGGTAGCGACCGTGGAGAAGATCATAAATAGGCATAGTTCTGTTATATTCATAAGTATACAGCTTGTCAGATAGCATGATAAATTAAAAGTGTCGTCTAATTCGATCTAATAGTTATTTCATTACTCAGTTTTGGTGGTAAGCTCATGAAAGTTAAACGTACATTATGCAAGAGCTAAATCTGTCTATTGCAGGTCTTTCTTTAGACCTGAAATGTTATCTAAATTATTAATTAGACATTAAATAACTTATCCAGACCATAATCAACTCTAGCTGGCATCGCTAGCCTTCGATCTTTAGTGGATTATGAGCCGATTTACTGCATATAACTTCCCTTCACGATTAAATGGATAATCGAGACTATGATGTTTATCGTACTGACTTTAGTAATGATGATCGAGGCTAGGCGGAAATTTCAATCGCTTAGTTTTTGGTTCATAGTGGATCAATTTGAATGAAATTTTCAGCCTTTACATTATCTAGTTTTTAACTATAAAAGTGAGAACTGCCAACTCGTTATCGAATCTCCCATAATGTATCTTTAACTGATATGGCACACAATTAATACCACAGCCGATGGTTGGACAGGTGGTGCATGTGTTTTTTCCTTTTCTCAAGTTATCTTTTGGTTAAGGATACTTCTTTTTTATTATTCAAAACGTAAATGAATTTTCATTTAAGTGTCAGCCACCACGAAATTACTACTCGAGACACGTCGCTACTGTGCGGGCTACACTCGAGTATTACTCTGGCGATAAACCTATTTAGATTTAACATCGTGTACATAAACGATTTAAAATGTAAAACATTCCGCCATTTAACTCTTTCTTATTCTCATATAACTATTGGAATTGTTTTTAAAGCCCCTAGATCTCCCAAACGTGCCAGCATATCACTTATCTTAAGCAAACAATATAATGTTCGTAATAAAAATTATTACCGATCATAATCTGACGTGCTAAAAGTTGTAAAGGGTCTAAGCAGTACGTCTAGGTATAATCCAACTATCTTCTATTACACACATTCCTCAAACTCGAGAATATGTCTACTTAATAAATTGATAGACGAATTCTATGTTGTGTATAGGAAGCAACCTTAAATGAAATATATTTGGAATTTTACACAAATGACAAGGACGTGGACTTCTTAAATTCCAAGTTAATTGTCTTGCTCAATATGATTCCATATTGTTTTACTCGGTCACACCCACCGGCATAATAAAGACGGGCATGCGACCATACATTTGTTTTTACCAGTATGATGACAAAATGAGAAACATATTTTTAATATACGGCATTTTCAATTTTGTTTAGCGATAAATTTATGTCATGGCGGAATCGAATATTTCTGAATGAAAAAAAAACCCCGCCTGATTTATAATTTGATAAACCGCATAATTTACATGTTATCTATATTATGTTGTATGGTACACATATAAGATAAATGAATGGATTGACGAACAGAATAGCATGGATCAATGGTCACCCAAACTATTCTTTACCCCCTCGACAGCCTTGATTGACGCGAGTGGGGCTATCAAGTAGTCCATTTACCGTGTATGATATGTAAACTATAGACTGTCTGTAGGCGGAGCAGTAGAGATATTTGAGCATAGTTTGAATTAGTAGCGACACGTCTAAAGTTTACCCATGTCATCATCAGCTATATTATGTCTATCTCTGTGGGGCGTATCTTAACCGCTTCAGATCTGTCAACCTGCCACACGGCTCACCCAATCTTGAACAGCCAACACCGGTCTCTTATTTCTCCTTGCTCTCTTCAAAGAGCATGTGCTTTCAATTGTTGGCAGATACATTTAAAAGGTAGATATACACACAAGTGTTCAAGTCTTAACAGAAACCCTGTTTTCAATTGAAAGTAATATTTTATTCATATTTTTTTCCTTTCCTGTTTCTAAATTGCAGTGCATCGTGTCATGTTGATGGTTGAAAGAAGATAGAGGTTGTAATAATAGTACGGCGACGCTAGACAAACCGCCTCGAGGCATGGCTACCTATGAACGTGATAGAAGATAAATACATGTCGAAAATATAAACCAAGCTAGTCAAATCTAAAAGATATAACATATGAATCGTGTGAATAGCTATAGGCATACTTTATAGATTCCAAGAGTCGGTGTACGATTGTTATAGATCTACTGACTTTAGTCAGCAAAGAACCCGATTGTGACACTTCGATCTCGCGAATTTATAATACTGCAAGTTTATTGGATGCGAGTTAAATTATGTGTGACTTTTTAAAATAATCACAATTCAAAAACTCCATATTATAAGAATCACATTTTCCTTAGTTCTCAGTGTCATTTGGATGCAAACTGCAGACGAATCCTGACGAGTATGATTCAGCGCTGAACCTCATACTTTTATGTGAACGACTAAAACATCTTCAGCGAAAGAGGCACTCCTGAGTTCATTCAACGCCGATCAACCGGTGGTCTTAAATCTAGGAATCGCATAGCGTATAGAATAGAATATTTTAAAAAATGAGGATTGGCGTTAACATGTGGTGGTTGGCAGTGTTTGTGGTGGCCTTGGTAGCGGCTGATTATGATTACCGATATTATAGTGATACGTACGGCCAGGGGGATTACCTAAGTGATTGGACTCAGGATTGGGCGACGATGAGCGGTCGTATACAGCGTCCCAAATGTATAGATATTCCTGCAAATTTAACTCTGTGCCAGGACATAGGATATTCTAGAATGCGGTTACCTAATTTATTGGACCATGATACATTAAACGAAGTAACCCATCAGGCCAAATCTTGGGTACCGTTATTAGGAATACACTGTCACCCAGACACTAAGTTATTCCTGTGTTCTTTGTTCTCCCCTGTTTGTCTAGACAGACCGATTTATCCATGTAGGTCTTTATGTGAAAGTGTGAAGGAGGCGTGTATGGTTCGAATGCAGCCTTACGGATTCCCATGGCCTGATATGCTCAAGTGCGACAAATTTCCTGTCGATAACGACCTCTGTATTGAGCAACAAAATCATATCAAACGTAAGTTTATTATTTCCTTTTATAATAAAAATAATTTTTTAAGCCATTAATTTTATATTTTTGTAAAATAAACAAGAGGTCTATGATACACGATCTTTTATTTTTTAGACTTAGATTATACCTGTTCAAATTTCAATTTGACTGGCCTATATACTTTAGCATGGATTGATTTCATAGCTGTATCTTATAATGCCGCTAAAAAAAAGTTTAAATCTATGTTTTATTATGTCCACATTTTAAAGATGATATATTAATGGAGTATGAATTTTATCTTATCCCTTTATAGATGATAGAATAACAGGTATAAATAATATTTATAGTATAGTAGAGTTTTTTTTGTTAGCTAACAGTGGAAAGGGATGATGCGGTATATATCTTTCAAATCATTTTGTTCAAGTACCCCCTGTTTAATGATTTATTAGACAAGCGGCTATTGAAATATCGTAATTTAGATTATCAATGGGTCTATGGGAGACGGTATTTAATGTATCTCTGTTAAATATAGGAAATTCACATTGGACTGACTTTGGCTATTACTATGGTGAAAATTACCGATCTATCATCCCTGTAAACATACATTTTTCTCTCTTTTTGTTTTGTTATTGATGTTGTGTTGTAACGATGTGAAGGTATTTGTGGGGTTTTTTTGTAACATTTTAACACTAAATTCAGTGTGACACTAATCTAACTTGTTGAAATGTTAAACATTAGACTAGACAGCATGACATCTTTACTTACAACCTACATACTACAAAGTATACTTTAATTTACTCTCTTTCTCTCTCTCTATATATAAATTAGTTTAATAGACTAGATATCTACGTGGTTTAAATTACCATTAGGGACATTTTCCTGAAAGGTACGATATTTTTTAAAGTGGCTGTCGTGTTTTATCCATAAATGCCATTTAGAAGTAGAGGTATAACATTCATAATAACACAACTTTATGGATTTACTACATGTAACGTTTCAATAGTCTAACATATATCTTTATCAAGCAAATAAAGATACATAAGAGTTAAGAAACGTCGCATGTAATAATCGAAGAAGTTGTGTTACTATGAATGGCTGACTTTGATTTCAGCAAGATGGGCCCAAGTGTCTCGTGTTTGTAATTTAAGACAAGTCAAACACTATAAAAATGTAACAGTTTTTAAAACCATTTAAAAAGTAATACCTTTAATTCTAAAGGTTTATATAAATACCAAATGACAAATCGGTGTAATAGTACACATTGATCACAGTGCCAATCAATAATTCCCGCTAATTTGAGGTACACAGGCTATCTGAAATTTCTTTAATTTTTGTGAACATATTACATTCGGTTCTTTGTATTAGAAGGACTAACAAAATTAGTTTACATGGTGTATTGGGGGAGGAAAAGATGCCTTGGGACTCTTTAAATTTCCAACTATGATAACATAGCACAGTTTTTGGCGACGAGCGAAACTAGGTATCTCGTTGATCTTTTCAAATGTAGATTATATTCGTCTGCCAATCCCCTATAAGATACGACATATTTTCTGACATTCCAATGGTCTTACGGCAATACAAAGTAAAACAGATTCGGTATACTCCTTAAAAATCACTAAGAATTTAATTTGTCCATAGTCAAATCATGTCAAACCGATTTTTACCAACTGTCGAACGTGTCATAAGTGATAATGCCCCCTTCATTCTGAGCCCCGAATGACCCCTCCATTCCCAAGAACTGTTTAAAATGCATCTCGACCAACAGCATGCAGAGAGTTTGTTACATAACACGTTACGGCTATGTACCTAGTACTTACATCCTTATAGATCTACTTTACTTACACACACTCTGATATGAGTTACGGAGCTCGCCTTATTTCAAGTACGCTACTAACTGTCAATGTTGTTTGTTTTAGTCAAACACGTCATGCCTCACGATATGGCAATTCTTTTCAACACCTTTACTTAAAGATGCATTATGATAGAGCTAAATCAGACCAGTGAAGGTCTTTCTCTAGCTCTTAAATGTTATATAAATTATTAATCAGATATTTATTAACTTTTCAAGACCAATCAACTCCCAATGCCATCGGATTTTCAACGGATTTAAATACGATTGGCGGTTAATGATTTAATTAAAAAATGGATAATCGAGACTTTGTTTAATATCGTAACAACGGTAGCATTGACAGTCGAGACTCCGCCATTCTCCAAACAGCCCTAACGTCGCTCAGAATGAAATAATTTAACTGAAATGTTCAAGATATTCCCATTTCATTATCTATTTTTAACTATTATAACGAGAACTGTCAGCTCTTTATCTAAATCTTACATAATGCATCTTTATAGAGGCAATAATACATTAACCAAGAAATAAATTGTGTCGTATAATATTACTGAAAATAATATGAACACCCCGATTTAGATTTTGGAGAGTCCACCGAAGTGAATGAAATGGGGTTTAACGTCCTGCTACTGTTCTGTCCCGACTGGTCTAATGAAGACGGACACACGCCATGCAGTGTGCTGTGGGGAAAGTTTTGCGCCCACTGAGGTTTAGGAATTTCGGATAATTGCTGTATATCACTTTATGAAATCTATTTTAAAAAAAAATTATATGCATTACTTACATTAGTGAAACGATTTCCCGATAATTGCTTCCTAGTTATACTATACAATGTTTTGGACGCTCTACATACTAAATGTATCATCATATCGTTTTGAAATCTATGGTTTTGTGCACATTAGTGGGCGAAGAAACTTTTAGGGATTCAAAAATTTCGGATAATTACTTAAAGATTTGCTACAGCGATATTCCTGCAGCAATGGTTACGAACAATATCAGTCTACCCGCTTGGCCATTGCTGACAAATATTTAAATCGGTTGTTTTACAATTCATTTTATATTATGATTTTTATAATCTACCGAACTGAATTACCATGTCGTGTTATTAGTGGTGTACTGTAAATAACCAGTGAGAACGCTGCAGTTCCATTTATGTAAAAAAAAAAACAACAACAACAAAAGGACTCGCGCACAAGGAGTGTACAAAAATTAAAACCGCGAGGATTAAGCCGATTAAAGATATAATTTTAACTGGATTGTAGTAATTTATACGTTCTTGAGTGCCACCAATTTCTGATATAATTAATCTTGATGATATTGCAACATCTAGTAGAAGCTGAACAAGACTACAGCTAATAGATTTGCAAGTTACACGTGTATATGCATTGTTAAGCATATCGGGTCTATTAAATGTTTACTACCATTTATACTTTTGTATTGCTTCAACGTCTGCCCCCTTTAACTTGCGGTATAAGTTGTGGACAATATACATGTAATCTTGTTACTCCAACAACCGGAAAATGAATGAATTTAATTACTCAAAAAATTAACCAATTCACGTACTTTACTACATGTTCACTTAGCCGAATAGTGTTGCGTAAGCAACCATGATCGTTAAATGATGAGAGAGAGAGAGAGAGAGAGAGAGAGGGGGGATAACGTCCACTCAACACAAACTAGGTCATTTCGGGACTAATATAAGGTTCGTTTGCGCGTAGGGGTCTTTAGCAGTGGGAGGAAACCGGAGGACCCGGAGAAAACCCACGAGGTTGGACAGGATGGTAAACATGTTTTGAATTTAAAATCAAAAGACAAAACAAAAACTAAAAACGTTACTGCGGGGAATTTTGGAATTAAGTTGTACAGGACAGATAGACTCTTTTGATCAAGAGTGGGGGAAAGCGAGACACACTAATGTTAGTGACAAAAAAACCCACCGTCTTGTTTGAAAACCATTAGTCGATCATGAAAAATCATCTTCATTTTACACACTGTTGAATTGCTGTATAGCAGATAAACGTCTTAGGTGGGGAGTTAAAACGTGGAAAGCTAAATAAATAATGTTACAAAAGGTGAAGCCTATTGCTCTCTTTAACATTCTTCGTTTTCTACAAACTATTACTATTAATTGTTATCTTGATCAAAGAAAACCTAATGAAACTTATAGAACATGTATCAAAATAATACAGATTTAATGCGACGGGTGCAATGATCTTTAGCACTCCTTAATAATGACTTTCGAAAGGCAGATAGTCCCAGACTTCGACATACAAGTATTTAAATTATTTCACCACCGATATAAAATAATAGACCAAATGGGGGAGATGGGTAATAAAGACATAGAATTATGAAAGAAAAACGGCTTCTTATTCGTACATAATTGAAGTTAACGATGGGGAATCCCACAAGGGGGGTCGTCTGATCAGTCGAGTGAACCAAGTGTCATCTTTTCCGCTTCAAACACACACAACAAGCTGAATTCTCCGAAACAATTAAGATAATTTCCTTCGAAGTCTAGAGATGTATTTTCAGTACTCATCCTATTCTTCCATATTCTGATCAATTTGTTCAACAGGAGGTCTTTGTAAAGGGTAAGTGAGCCAGTAATTTTACCACGCCCAGAAAAAAACAGAACATAGTACATATAATGCGCCGTTCTTTAGTCGAACAAAAGATGTCAAAATACGGACACGGTGTAAATAAATCTAAAATAGATAGAATTAAAGAGGGCTCTCAAAAAGTAATTGGCATATATTTGTAGATTTTATATAAATAACCGTTAATAATTGGCTGTGAAACCCCGAACTGCACACCCTGTCGTCACTGGAAAAGAATAGTTGTTTTCCCAGCCTTTCTTCTCTGAAAATGTATAATGGTATTTCAAAAAAGAGCGAAAAAAGAAACACTTTACTGCATATGCCAATTAGACTATACGTTTATGTATAGCCTACACCCAAAGGAACATGAAAAAATAAAATAAAGAATCACCCGGAGACCATGGCTAATTTCCAGCCATGGCATCGAACCCATAGACAATCTCACACAACCTTTTTAAAACTCTTGAGGTCACGGTTAGTATCTAATCTTTTGGAATTATGTTTTGTTGTAGATCTACCTACACCCCATATTTCCTTGTCTGTCTACATACCTTTTTGTGCTACCCTTTTAGACAGAAGGTAGGGGATTAAATTTTGATGGTTCGGCTCCATTTACATAACCCCAAAAAATTATTATCCCCCCCCCCCCTTAAGAAACTAAAAAAAACAAACAAACAAAAAAACCCAACCCAAAAACTGACAAACAAAATAAACAAACAATCAAATAACTTTAAAAATACAAACCCACAACCAAAACAAACGAAGAACAACCAAACCAAAACAAACACACACAAACTGATCACGGCAGGCATTTCTTTAGAAATTAAAAGACAACAATTTGACCTTGACTAGAACGTATATCTATATATTGATGACATGATGTATGTTCTTATGTATTTATATATTATTTGTTGTTTAACCGTTTGCATGGGTTCTTTCTTGTGTAATACAGGTGTAATGTTTAGATTTATTTAAAGTTTATTTAATATTTCCTTTTCTTTAAAATATTCACACTAAACACACATTGGATTCGGTTTCATAGTTAAATTGGTTAAAGCATAAAATTTTAATCTTGGTCGATATTTTGTTAGTAACAAACCACGTGAACCATTGGAATTACACTGTTAAAAATGATAATTTATTTATTTTTTAATTTAAAAATATAATGTTATCTAAATAGTGCACCTTATTGTGTGAATGTAGTACTAGTGAGACGATGTAACATTAGTCTGTAGTTGCATGCTAGCCTATAAAGGGATAAGTCTTAACCTTTCATGTTACAGCAGATAACAACTGTACCGCCTGTAAACATCCTCTAACGTATGAAGCTATCGTTGATAATTTTTGCAGAGCAGACTTTGGTAAGTAAACATTGTCACATTTATTTGGAATCAGTTCTTTAACATAATAGTATATTGTTTTTTATTAAAGGGAACTCGAATGAGATATATGTACAGACATGCAGGGCCGGCGGAAGCAATTCTTGATTAGGGTGGTTTCCATCCTAGGTCCTTATAGGCAAGGGTCCAGGGGCCACAATAACCTGGAGAAAAGAGTACTTACGGCCAAATTATTCGGGGGCTAAAGCCGCCCCTCCACTCCGCCGGGCCTGCAGACATGTGTCGTCCTTCAAAGTTAATAGTTAATAAAATGTTTTCGATTTCTACATTCACTGTAATGTGGTATTGTTTGTTCAGCTGAAAAAAGGGAAACCAGAACAGACCTCTGTGGAACAACGTTATCCTAAAGTATATTGTCTTCACCTCCGTTCAATATCGCGTATCCGTATTGATTTTGCGTGTGACGTCATCAATGTGTGTGTATTTTTCATAGGTGATACGGCACGCGGATACGGCAGCACGTATCGAACAGCTTTCTCGCGGAAAAGGTCCGTCTTTTTACCGTATTTTTGCTACTTTTAGACGCTGAAATGTTGTGCCATAACGTTTTCATGAATCTATTTGTATCCTAGAACACTAAGGCGTATATTTGATGTGATGATTTTAACCATGGTAAAGACTGGAATTGAATCATTGTTTTTGATAAAATTTTTCTCGGAATTTTCATATTTTTCCCGTCTGTCTGTATGCTGGTTGATATACGTGCTAAATTTAGAGAGGTGGGACCTTGCACTCTGTAAATGATGTGATTCTATGGTAAAGGGGTATAAATTTTCTGAAATGATACATTAGTGCAGTTGTTCTCAACCTTTTTTTGGCCAACTGCACACCTTGGAACACATAAAAAATAGCGACACACCTGGTTAGATATATATATATGAAAAATATTTGAATTTAGCAAAATAAAAACATCGTAAGTCAGACGGAATACAACCGTATACAGGGACTAGTCATAGACACATACAATGACTCAAACTAAATAATGAAAACACAGCAATAAACTTATCAGTAGACACCAGTGAATACTGAATTGGGATCACGTGGTTTTTCACATTTTTTTTATTGTGAGGAAGATCTTCGCGGCACACCTGTTGAGAATCACTGCATTAGTGAAACCAAAAAGTGATATCGAGTCGAAGTCGAAGATTTTTAATAAGATTCGATATTACTTATTTTTTTAATAGCTCAGCGACTGTCGATCGACTTTACTCCCTCTGGGAATTTGTAGGCTAGGCACTTGACTAGTACTGGTGGTGATCTTGATAGATAACTGCCATCATGCTGTAATACTCTAAAACTACATTGCCAAATTCCGCTTGCCAAAAGTCTCTATTGTTCGTCAGCACTTTCTTGTGAATATTATGATCCTTATGAGACTTTTTAACTGGCGCGGTATTAAAGGGTTGGGGTGTGGGGGGTGTTGTTGATAACTAAATCAATAACATTCATAATATGACATGAACTTTATGTCAACAGGAATAAAACTGCTTTCCGACGAGATAGCGATCGGCGAACAACTATATATAGACAACACAATCTATGTTATAGCCAGTCTCATTAATTTTTCATTGTGGAGTGGGATTGTGGATGTGGCCCTAGATTTGCACCCCCCCTCCAATTCACAGCTTCTAGATCCGCTACGCCATTCACCCAGATTTGAAAAAAAAACAGTAGGTGATTAATGTTTAGATATGGGCAATGTGCATGTGCACATTGGTATTATAAAATCAACTGGTATAGAAACTTAAAGTAAACAAACAGAATTTTAAGGATTATATATCAAAACCAAAGTATTATAATATGGAATGGGTGATCTTAGGAAATAAACCGGGAAATGGGGAGGCCACAATCTGATTAAAATCAGATGTTGTTCAATTCGTTTTCCTTCGTTTTATATTCTGTATTTTATATTTTACCATACTGCAATGCACTTATATCATTGTGTCGTGTTCTTAGTTTTGTACTATCGACAACCAATGAAAACGCCACAGCTTCAATCACGCCAGGACATCGTCTACTGATCTATTTATAAACCCTCTAAAGTATCGTGCATTCTGAATATATTTTAGATTTTTAAGCAATGTAGAAAATCATGGGGGGCATGGGTGGCTAAGTCGCTGCGAACGCCGAAGTCACGAAGCGCATAACGGGAGGTTCGGGTGGTCTCCTTCGGAAAATTTCGAATAAAAAGAGGAGGGGGGGGGGGAGGGCTGCGCCCTTGAATAGTATGTGAAGTGTAGTGAGGTAAACAATTGTAAGTAAATGTCCTAAATTCCAGACAATCACCAATTTTGAAAGGACTGGATAATCAATTTTAACACGACAATCCATGATAGTTAAAGCTTTACGTTTAAAACGGGGATCACGGTAGCTAAGTGGGTAAGACACTGGCTCGCTAGTCTGGAGGTCGGGTGTTCGATCCCTGCATTGGCCGAGAAAGTTCATCCAGATTTTCCGGCGTGGACAAGGACAGCTGTCTAGTCGTCCGGATGGGGCGAAAAACCGAGGTCCCGTGTACACATTGGCGTGCACGTAAAAGATCCCTTGACAGTTGGAATTCGATATAAGAGTAGGCCGTAGTGCCGCTGTCCGGGCAAAATTTCCCACATCGCACACTGTATGGCGTATGTCCGCCTTCATAAGCCCAGTTCGGAGCAGAACAGTAGGACGTTAAACCCAATTTCATTTCACGTTTAAAACGAAATGATTCACAAACATATTATGAATTAATTATTTGTGAATGATTATAGAAAGAAATTGTAAAACGACGTCATGTTACTGTCGAACTGATTGGGTGTAAAGACAACATGATGTTGAACTTTTTAGCTTTCGAGTATCTTCGTCCAGTAAAAAGAATTCGTTTAACAAATTGCCGAAGGTAACATAACGATAACAAGCTAGAATTCATTACTCTCTTAGTCCAAATAAAGAATTTAAGGTGGTTAAAGTAGCTAAGTCTCTAACTCAATACCACCCAAAGCCGTCGACATTGAAAACAGGAATTATTTGTCAATTTAAATCAACATTGATGTGATCTTATTGGGAAAAGATGGGCTTCTGATATCCAATATTTATGAAAAAAAAAAACATTTTACCATTGGTACACGAACCGTGTACCATAATGCGTTTCAGCGCCATTTATAACAAGGGACTTCTGACGTATTTCGCCGAACATAACTGATTTGAAATTAGAGTAAAAACGGGATCGATTGAATGTAAATCAGTTTATATACATTCATATTACATTATTATATGCGTTGCGACCCGCTTCTGTCAATTTCTAGGTCCCAAATATTAGCGATTTAAGCATCCCCCCACCCAAGTTTGTTAAGGCAATATGTTTCTTTCTTTATCTTTAGTCAATCAGGGTAAACTGTTAAAAAGTCCCAACACCCCCAAATCCCCTTCTATACGCCACGAGAACTAATATATAAGACGTTATCTATATTGACATAATTTTTTCGTCGCGTGGATAGGCATAGGGGGGCAATATCAGTTGGGAGAGCTGGGGCTTAGGGCTATTTGTCCGAAAAAAATTTTTGTCACCCGAATTTTCAAAATGAATCAATCATCAACTAAATCGAATTTCCACAAAGTTGTGATGGTTTTAATTAATTACACAGCAATATCAAGCAAAAACAACTAAATGTATCCCATTCTCTGATGTTTGTGCCCGATAAATGGAAATACATGGTCGCGTGAATTAATGTAGGCACCAGATGGGGCGTGTTCGGGAATTCGAGCAGCGGGGGTTCAAGGTGAAGACAACATAAAGTTGATCTCGAGGTCTGAGGGATTACGCGAGAATTTTATATAATCAAAAGCTGAGACAAGATGCCTGCTTATTTCGTTGCATAGTGTTTAAGATTAGAGTGGAGTTAGGCCAAAACAGCCACAAAGCTTCGCACGTTTGATCATCCGAAGAATATAGGGCGAGAGAAAATAAACGTATGCTCTGCTCGAAAAGGGGGAAAGTCCGGATAATTTTCTTTAAAACAGAAAACTATTATCGTTCCTTTAATATTTTAGAAGCTCGTCTGTTACGTTGAATGGGTTGGGCGTTTGATCGTACGTTTGATCATTCCAAGAATATAGGGTGAGAGGAAAAAAAGGACACTCTGCGCGAAATGGGGAGAGTCCGGATAATTTTCTTTAAAACAGAAAACTATTATCGTTCCTTTAATATTTTAGAAGCTCGTCTGTTACGTTGAATGGGTTGGACGTTTGATCGCACGTTTGATCATTCCAAGAATATAGGGTGAGAGGGAAAAAAGTATACTCTGCGCGAAAAGGGGAGAGTCCGGATAATTTTCTTTAAAACAGAAAAATATTATCGTTCCTTTAATATTTTAGAAGCTCGTCTGTTACGTTGAATGGATTGGGCTATATGACATGTAAAAAGACTTACTTAAATAAACGTCGTATATAAACTTAAAGATTTAAGGCAGGACAAAAAAAAACGCACATACGTCTGCATGAAATGTCAACCAGATGAATTCTTTCTACATTAAAATTCTCAACATGTCGCGGTGTTAGAATACTTGAAGCCGGCAGATTATATAGCCACTGAAACCTGAGCAAACAGTCACTCCTTGTATTTAGATTAAAAACGTTATCAGAGTCTTTTTTCCTCGTTTTTACATATTTCCACACTCATACCTTTTCTTATACATACACACTCTACACATATCACCCGTGTTTCATTAGAAATTGTTTCTCGTTATATATCTTACAAATGGTTTGGATTTCAGCGAGTTAATGGCATTGGATATTTTAAAGAAATTCTCGAACCTATCGCGAAATGAATTGGATACTTTCGGCATATCACGTGTGATAGGTCGTTATTGTCCCTGGTTTATCATCTTTGTCAGTTAAATGCCATTTCGTTAATGACTATGTTGCCTTATTTTATCGTGTCATTGTTAAAAGTGTAAATAATTTTGCTCAAGTAACAAGTCATAAATCATTGTCTGACATAAGTTATATATCTCGAAAGTCACACTTCAGTAACTGAAACTTTATCATTTTGTAAAGTGAGAGCTGTTCACCTCCGAATTGAACTCTCTTCAGCCAGTTAAATTGTAGGTTGTTCATAGACTTCTGGAAGTCCTGGACTGAGAATTCCCTAATGAGATACCTAATGCATTATAAATCAAAGATAGGTTTACAAAATCGACAAATCTTGGGAGCTCTTTAAGCAGCCCATATAGGCATATGTCTTTTAATCAGTTAAATTACACTCGATTCAGGCCATTGCCAGCGATTTTAGGGGATTCGCGTTTTATCTCGTCAATTCCAAACAAAACAAGTTATTCCGTACAGTCCAACACATAACCCAGGTTTCGGCAAAACCCGGCCAGATGTGTTAAAGTTAATTGCTTAATGTGGTCAATTGACATTAATAATTACTGGGAGTAGCCAATTAACTTGGTTCCATTTCTCCCACTTTTAATTACACGAACCTCAACTTTTTGACCGTATCAACAAAGAAATTCTAATTTTGTTAATGGTCCATGACTATTTGTTCTATAACAATGGCTGCCATGGCAAGCGTGTATAGCAATCTGATTATGATGACAGCGTAGAGGTCTTTCCGAAACCCGAAGTCTTATCATAAGCGTACAGTCCAACCAGAATTAAAAATGGCGATACTTTGGTGAATAGATCTACAGATTCAGGAGCGGATTGGGCCTCGGACCGTTGGACGTGGTTCGGAGGCCCATTGACTCTCATTGGAAAAAATTGACATGTTCTTTTTTTTCAAAATAAATAAATTCATCTTTGCATCCGATGAAAATATATTGACCTAAATCCGAAGAGAAAAATGACCTATGACTAGTGCGGGAAAGGGTTATCAAGCTAGTTTCGTTTTCTCGTCAGGTCACGTATTCTTCACCGCAATAGGGGCGCATTAAGGAAACCAGCTGGTCCGAGGACCTAGAGCCACCCAGTCCGCCGCTCCTGCACAGATTCACGATACAAATCTGTCATATGTCAGTGTGTTCTCCATCCATAAGTGTAAACTAATATTCGCCAAGAGAGAGAAAGCGCTGTACAACTACAAGACAATTTAGTTACTGCAAGCAGCGGCTTAGGCTGGTAGGAGACACTCCAACCTAGGGAAAAAAATCCGAAACAAATGATTTTTGTTTTTTATAAGGCGGTATGTACATAGCACCCAAGAAAAAAAATCCTTGGCAATTTTTTTAATGAACGATTTAGTTTTGGCATCCGACCTCAAAATGAATGATCCTTGTAAAAAAAAACCTATTTACGTTATCCCCAACTTTACGCACTCTAAATGTATTATCAAATTGTAAGTAACCATAAACGCACTCAGCTCCATGATATTTTAAAAATAATATTATTAACACAACTATTAATATCCACCACAATCGTCTCATTTGGTAGGATGAACTGGTGAACTGTCATTGTATGCTGACGTGGACGGGCGATGGCTCAGTTTATGTTGACTTTGTGGTGTTGAGTAGCTGGTGTTTGGTTAAATGTTGAAAAAAATTGCTTGAGATTGCATTATGGAGGAGATCATGGTCACAAATATTGAGGGACGGTTGGTGAGTGTCGTGATGATGGCTTTCTTGGTCTGATACGGGTCGTTGGGTTTGTAATGGAGATACTGATTGTTTTGGGCTGGTTTCATATACATCGTAGGAGACGAACCTACGTTGATGATATTACAAAAGTTTTTGCAGTCAAGTGAAAATAAGGATTTCAAAAGGTATTGGGCAGTTTTGTAGTAGACAGCGCCTCGGTAGCACACATATATCCTGGCTTTGGGTGGATTTTGATGGTGGCATACGCGTTTTGGGTCATTGGTTTGATGAGTAGAAATGGGGTCTTTCGTTACCCGTGTGTAGTTTGCTTGGTCTTGAAGAGTGTTGACAGTGCTGAAGTAGTCCACACTCCTCGCAGTGTTTCGTTTGATTAGAGCTAATCCCACTTAACACTGCTGTAATGGAAGCAAATTTCTGTTCCAAATTATGACTGGTCAATAGTCCGATTAACAACCAATAGCTAACTGTGTAACAATATCATTACGCTTTAAACAGAGCTCCAAATTGGACCAAATATGTTTACATAATGTTACGTCATGACTCGAGAGCTCAAGTATCAGAAGCCAATCTAGCAATGGCCAGGGAGGAATTTCTCGGGCCAATGCTTCTCGCGATAAAGAGTTACAGTGACCGCAGTGAGTCAATTATTGTTGGGAACGGTCCGATTTATAGTTTGTACGTTCCACGTGGCAGGAATACTTTATCACTGAAAATGCCTGGGAGTGGCCATTTATGATTCGTTGGAATATGTTGATGGTTTTCAGGTACATTTTATACGTTAGTAATTTGGTAATGTACATTATCTTTTGCCCACTATTGAAAATATCTGGCCATTGCCCTTCTTTGTTGAGAAATTTGCAACAAGTTTCGTGCGATAAGTAAATTAGCCCATCTGGCTTAGCCTTTGGTGTGGGGAAATAGGAACGTCTGGCTGGGACATCAGGAAGTTAACCCAATACTACCCAATATAATTGAAGTATTATGTTAGTTTTCCACAATAGTGAGGTATAGTATTCGGTAGTGTTTAGTTAGTGTTTGGTAGTAGAGGGTAGATCGTCCTGCTCGGCGGGGATGCGCCACCACCGAAAATGTCTGGAGGTGGTCTTTGTTAATACATGTGATTTGACTGAACATTTGCAACATGTTTCGTGTGGTTAGTAAATGAGCTAGAATGGTGGGTGGGGCGATTAGGGACGCCTGACGAGTTTACTCCATCACTGAAAATATCTGACATTTGGCATTTTTGATGCACATGACGATGCTGAACATTGTGCAACAAATTCATGCAGTTGGTAAATGCACTGGGTGGGGTAGAATTTCCCAACATGGGAATTTACTGATTTTGTCAATGGTCTAATAGCGGAAAAGCATTTGTGATGCACAAAAATATTCTCAGCATGCCGAAAAACGGGAGGAAAAGTTAGAAAAATTGTGGGTACGAAAACCAGAACGCCTATAACCTTTTTTGCTCAAGGCCGATTTTGGTGGGGTTTTTTCCCTTAAGTTGTACTCATATAGACCTTTCATAAAAAGCAAGAATCATTTGTTTCGGATTTTTCCCCAGATCCGATTGCAGAAAACTACAGTAATAATGGTGTGTGATTAAAGGCATGTATTTTTTTGTATTTTTCAGTGGTTAGGGCAAAAGTTAACGAAATACGAGATCTTCTAAGCGGTCACAAGGGCTTCCTTATAAAAAAGAAGAAAAAATTCTTCAAAAAGCAAAACTTAACGAAAAAGGATAGGAAGAAAATGCTTCCTATGATAGAATATGGTAAAAAGTGCTCCTGTGACACCGTAAATACAACCCAGGGGAAATACTTGATTATGGGAAATAAGGTGAAAGACGAATTGTTTGTGTCTTTTGTTACGCCGTGGCAACGTAAAAACAAAGCCTTCAAGCGCGCCATTCGTGCCATGAAAAAAGGCGATCTGTGTGAAGGAATATTCCAAGAACTTACCGCTGGTGAAGTAGATAATAATAAAACCAAAGGACAAAAAGAAAATGGCGGACGCAAAAAGAAGGGAAAGGGTAAAAAAGGCAAAAGGAAGAAAAACAAGAAACGAAATAAGGGAAAAAAGGGAAAAAATCGTAGAGGCGACAAGAATAGGAAACGTAGGCCAAAAAAAAAGGAAAATAACGAAGCCACAATTATACCGAAACCTGAAGGAGGAAACTGATGACGGATGTGTTCAAATTAGTTATGTGATAAAACTGAACAGTTCATAGTACGGATAATGTTTTGCGTTAGTGAATTTACAGTCCTACGAAAATGGACGTAGTGTTGTGATCGTAGTTAACGATTTATTATGAAAGAAAATATTTAATATCGAATGCATTTTGAAAGCCAGTAGAGACAAAAATAGTCAACTATCCACGTTGATATATATATATATATAAATATCATATTTGATTGTTATTAAAATATATAAATATATAAATAACATATTTGATTGTTATTAAAAACGGAGCTTTAATATTTGTATATTTTTGGAATACATTATGTGTCAATTGTGAATGTGTTCTGTATTAGATGCAAAGTTTGCCCGAAATCCTAAGATTTAATAGAACTATATCAAGTATCCATAAGAGATTTCTAATATTAAAATCCAATGTGTGCATAGAAGAAGTTATATTGAGAGATTTGGCATATGTTAGCCATTTCTGAAATGGATATATTCAAAATGATATCATGATATGCTGCGATTAAGAATGACGAAAAAATGCACGCAAGTTTTTTTTAAATGAAAAAAAATAGCGGTAAAAAATCTATAAATATAACTTTCAACGTATTCTTATCATAATTATTTCCATCATGCATAAACAATTGCAAGAGTGACTTTCTTGTTTTGGCGGTCACAGACGTGTTCAGTGCTGTGTATATAATGATATTATGAAGAAGGAGAAATTGTGAACAAAGGATGTTTCCTTGTCTTATTATTATTATTATTAATATTATTTCATTTTTATCAGACGTTCAATTTTTCCCAAATGGCTTTGTGCTATGTGCTTTATTATAGGTGTTTGTGTAAATATTATTTTGTGCTTTATAATGAATTTGTTAATGACGTAATGTTCATCTGTTGCTAGATAACATCTCTAACAGTTTTTATTGTTTTTTAAGCGTATGTAAAACTCTATGTGTTAAAGTTGTACGACCCAAATAGTTGAGGTGCAGTGCAGATGGATTTGTCATAAAGATTTCAGAATGACGACAATATATAACCAGTTAATGTGTATTTTATGACACAAAGATACTACAACAATATTAGACCTTATCATGTGTTTTACAAATAGATGTAGATTTCTCCGTTCTTGACATGTGTCACTCAAAACTGGTTGCATTCTCTTGGCAGAATAAAGATATAACTAACCCAAGCTTACCAATGATATTTGCCAATAGTGATAAAATATATTTTTGAATTGATATGGTTGAAACTAACTAATTCGTGCATACCAATATTTGTTTGTCTTTACATTCAAAATAATTTCCTCAAGTTTACATATATTTTGTTTATTTTTAAAATAAATGAGAAACGATCTTATACCAATTAAAACTGTTTGACGAAGTTATGTCCTCATTTCGAATCTTCTGACTGTTTTCCAGGTCTCTGCAAACTACACATTAACATATGTTTCCTAGGATTGGATTCCTAAAATCTTTTACATCCCTTCCACAACCCCGAAACAATCACCTATTATTTGGCACGCAGAATGTTTGCTTTATTATTATTACTACCGTAAATCATTTATGGAAGGTATATCACCTAAAAGCAGGTACTCGAAGATGAAAATTTGTTTTTACACGTTATATGTCAAAATATAGGCCACGTGTAATAAATATCCATAAATAAATAAATATGAATACAACCTAACATTTCTGATATCTGATTTGTTTCCAGAAACGTATCATCATGATTTATTTGAAATAGTACGTGAGATGTTCTAAAATTGATAAAAATAATTTTCATATACTTTTTATCGCAATATAATGAATTATGTTTCTTCTTTTGGAACTTCCTTGGGGATCCTACATCTAATTTGGAACCACTTTTAAGTACATACATATGTTTCCATAGAATAAAAAATTTAGACCGAAGCATCAAAAAAACCCAACCTATTATGAAACCATATCGATTCAAAAGATATAACAGAGTATAGGAAAAGTAAATGGTGAGCTATTTATTAGAAGTAGGTGTAAATGTATGTGAAAAGAAATTGTTTTAGAATAAGTTATAATAAACGTACATTGAATTTCACAGAGTAGTTCTAATTTATATTTATTACCTATCCCTAGGGGTTGCCGTGGTTGGGTGATTATCACATAGGACATAGCCGTGGGTGGAGAAGACCCTTTCGGATTTTTCAAGCCCGAATTCAAGAAGTCAGGTGGTTGTGTTTGTTGGACTTAATGAGGGCACGTGTACCAATTACTAGTTCAAGTAAAAGATCCCCATGCAGCTGAAAACGACTAAAACGCCACAGTCCGGGCAAAATTGTCTCTATCAGACACATAAATATGGCAAATGATCATAAGGACTCATGGGAGAAAATAACGAGGTCCTATATGCAATTAAAGATCCATTGGCAGTTGAAATTCGAAGACAAGCAAAGGCAACGCCACAGCTCGTGAACTCCCTACCCCACATTGCACACGTAACAACACAAACAAATTAATTAATGCTCCTTTTGCAGTTCCATACCGATTCTCCCGACAGTACCACAGTAGTTATTCCACTGGAATTGATTAGATCTGGTGTTTATTTTGATCATTGATACGGTAATCTTCCTAACTACGATTAAATTAAGTTTTAGTATAGTTATGAGACCATACACAATCAAAAGTCTATAAATATACCAAAAGTATTCAAATATCTGATGTTAACATTTTAAATCAAATGTACTATATATATAAAAAAAATTTATCGGTGCCAATTTTTGTATAAATAACAAGCCAACAGTGAGGCTGATGTCCCCCGATGAAATCCCAAAATAAATAGATGACACATATTAATTAATCGCAGATTTATTGTTTTCGAAAGTATCCAGCAATCAAAATATACACTAAATTTCGTCACTCTTTATCTGATAGAATCAAGATTATCTCGTCCCAGAGCATCGACCAATGAAATTGATTAGCTCTGCTTGGCTTCAGTTCGAAATCTTAATAATTGAACTCGGCCAAGACATTCGCCTAATGAACATCTACATCAAGATTAAATATTCTACCTCAATTAAAAGCAGAATTGTTATGTTCCAAAGTCTTGACCAATCAGATTGATTATCGCTCTGCTTTACCTAAGCAGAAATTGCTCATCATCGAACTTAGTCAAGGTATCGATGTAATGAAACTATACACCAAGTTCCATCACTCTCACTTAATAAGAACTAAAGATATCTTGTCCCAAAGCATCACCCAATCAAATTGCTTATCTCTGCTTCCCCTAAGCAGAAAATGCTCATCTTCGAACTCCATCAAGGCATTGACCTAATAAACACCTACACCAAGATTGAACATTCTAGCTAAATTAGAAAGAGAGTTATTGTGTCCCAAAAAGTGTGACGGAGAGACAGACGGACAGACAGACAGGCGGACAGACAGACGAACCCATTTTAATAGTCCCCTGCTTTCTTCCAAAGGCGGGGGACAAAAATTCAGGAATGCGTTTGTGTGTTTAAATGGCCGCCAGCTAAAACATTATCAACTACTTTTATCTGAACGTAGGAGATATCCATCTAACCAACAAAAACAACACATCTAATCAATTTTGCACTTCAATTTTGACTGTCAAATAAAGAGGCCCTTTTATTATACCAAATACGAAACAATCTTTCTTCCCACCAAAATGCACATTATAATATTTCATGGTAATAATGGATTCTGTATAAGAACTGAAAATGAATTGAAGATTAACGTCCTACCTTTCTGCACCGACTGGACTAATGAAGACGGGCATACGCCAAACAGTGTGCTATGAGGGAGATTTTAGACTGGACAGCGGCGCTATGGTCTACTCTTATATCGAATTCCAACTGCCAACCCGAGATCTCGGTTTTCGCCCCATTCGACAGACTGTCCTTCCAGATTCTCCGCGAAACCACCGCTGGAAAATCTCGAAACTTTCTCACCGACACCGGGAGCGAACCTCGGACCACCTGGGTCAGAGCCTTACTCAGTGAGTCACCGCGGCTCCCCGTTCCGCGTAAGGAATTCACAAATATTTATTATATCAAAACTTGATACAAATTAGTCACCTAATACAAGGGGTAGCCAGGGTTGTTTGGGTTGGTGGGGGGCGGGGGTGTCTAGCAAAAATGCAATCGACTGATGCACTTGCCTCTAATACCAGTGACGCAGTCACGATCTGAGCTCTGCAGGTGCGAGTTTTCTAGGGGTGTCCGGGGTCATGTCCCTGAAATGCCATTTCCTGGAGTTTGGGGCAGATTTTGCAGAATTCTGATGGTCAGAAAACACTTTTAACACAAGTAATATACGTTTTAATTTCTATATAATGGGATTAATTGAATATGCAACAAGTAAAAATTTTTAAGTTCAATAGATCGCCCTAACATTTCATAAATTACAGATTTTTTTCGTATTTCTGAAACAAACTCACCCTCTCTTTTACCAAACGATAAAACTGTGCTTCCGATAACTTCTTAATTAACTGTTCGGCTAATATTATTCGTATGACAATCAAGAATATATTTTGAAACATCAAAATCTTCGTAACAAGCTCTCTCAATTTCGTAACAAACTCGCCTTTTCTTTTACCAATCCAAAAGATAAAACTTTGCTTCCGATAACTTCTTAATAAACTGTTTGGCTAATATTATTTTATAGTATACCGTTGCAATTTAGGTGCACATATTCACACAAATACTTATATTAAAGGGGCAATTCCCTATTTTAACAGTCTCAAAAATACAAGTCTGTGTACATAATATGAAATTTAAGCGCCAAAATATAGAGGAATGGTGTGTTTACCTTGCCTTAAAATTAATTCAGCTCAAACTATGGAGTCGTTTGGACGTATAAGACAAAACCGCTTATCCGGACTCGCAACCCTTTTAAGATTTTGGGGTCAATTTTTTCGTTGGTGACCTGGTGACCTGATAATCTATTGCCGTTCCTTTAGAGGTCTATACAGTGTATGACCCACGTGATGTACTTGATAACGAAAGGTAAATTTCACCCACACGTTATTATTATAAAATAAAAGTCTGGTTCCATCCAGATACCGTATAATACAGCTTGGGACACAGGTCTCCATTTCCAGACGAAGACTGGCGGGTTTAAATTGTTTGAAATCGTATCACTTATATTGAGTTAGTTGCTCGGCCCGACGGTAGAGATTTAGGGGGTTTTAACACAAAATTAAGCAGTTTTATTCTCCAAAACATAATCGAGATTCACTCTTTAAGTATTTGGAATTTTTCCCTTCTTATTTTGGCATTGTTTGTTTACCCCATTAATTCATTTAGTCAGAGACCGACTGCAGTGAGCACTTATTTTGAGACCGAATATTTTTTTCTCACGGGGGAGAGATAGTTGACACGGTTATTTTGTACTATAGTTTTGTGTGAAGTATGCAATTTAGGTGCACGAGTTTGCGAAAATTAAATACATATATTAAGTATTTGAGACTTTTCTCTTCTAATCTGGCATTTTTTTTGTTTACGTCATTAATTCATTTGGTCGCCGATGCATAATTTTGAGACCGAATGCAGTGACTGCATTGATTCTGAGACCGACTATTTTTCTCCCTGGGATAAATTTTTTTTTATACCAACATGCAACAGAAAAAGAGTGAAAAACATTTTTTCAAACATATTAAGTTGACAAGGTTATTTTATACTATAGTTTTGCGTGCGTGGCGTGACATATGCAATTTAGTTGCACGAATTTACGCAAATACATATTTAGGTATTTGGGATTTTTCCTTCTATTTTAGCATTGTTTGTTTACCTCATTATTATAATTCATTGAGTCTGAGACCGACTGAGGTGAGCACTTTTTTGTGACCGACTATTTTTGAGACCGACTATTTTTTTCACTCGGGGTGGGGGTGGGGGGGGGGGGGGGCATTTCTTAGATTAACATGGCAACATACGAACAACTGAATAAGAGTGAAAAACATTTTTTCAAACATGACAAGTTTATTTTATACTATAGTTTTGCGTGAGCGTGACGTATGCAATTTACATGTAAGTGCACCGATTCAAGCAAAGATATTATTTTGGATCTTATTTTCTGTTTTGGCATTTTTTGTTTACGTCATTAATTCATTTAGTGACTTACTTATTTTGCGACCAACATAATGTAGGCTACATATGCCATCTAGGGCCTCTTTCGCGGTCTGGGGAATCACGTGGCTAAGTGGGTAAGACGCTGGCTCGCTAGCCTGGAGGTCGGGTGTTCGATCCCTGCATTGGCCGAGAAAGTTCATCCAGATTTTCCGGCGTGGTTTCCCCTTGTCAGTGATGCAGGACGGAGGGCCTGACAAGGACAGCTGTCTCGTGTACACATTGGCGTGCACGTAAAAGATCCCTTGGCAGTTGGAATTCGATATAGGAGTAGGCCGTAGCGCCGTTGTCCAGGAAAAATTTCCCTCATAGCACACTGTATGGCGTATGCCCGTCTTCATTAGCCCAGTTTAGGAGCAGAACAGTAGGACGTTAAACCCCATTTCATTTCCATTTCATTTCTTTCGCGGTCTGGTTCTGAGCTGGTGACCTGTGGGAATTATGGATGCTGAGCTGACAATTTAACAAAGGACTACGAGGATCGACGAACATGATGCCTCGTCAATTACATCCGTCATTTTTGGAATATCTATGGTTACATTTACAATGCGGACAGGGCCGTAACTAGCTCAGAGCAATGAGGGGGGTGGGAAGTGTTCTCAGGAGTGCTGTAAAATTGACGGACAATGTATATCTATTTTTTTTATGGTCGACAATTTTTTCACAGGGGGGCGGGACATCGGAAAATCCCGATGAACTTTCTCGGTCAAACAGGGATCCAACACGGGATCTCCAGGCCAGTGAGCCAATGTCCCACACACTGGGTCACCGTGACTGCCTTTATAGCTCTTCAAGGCTATGATGGTTCTGATTTTAATCAGTAGCCGACTCATCTTCTGAAACCATAATGGTAAAATCAAGATTTCATGTAACATTGCATCATTCGCGATAGTTTTGAAAAACTGGACAGTTTAACAATTAGATCATTATGCAAATCATAAAGATTTGTACA